ATAAATTTAGTAAATTCATATTACAGAATAAAATAATGAGGCTGCACGTTCTCTAAGACATCTGAGAAAGTGTTGAGTGAAAAAAGTCAATTATATAACAGTAAGTATACAGAGTATGAAACCATTTATTCTGAAGCACACACTCATATACCAAAAACAATACTATATATTCCGTGTGTGTGTGTGTGTGTGTGTGTGTGTGTGTGTGTGCGTGTAAGAAAAGGATTTTAAAGGGGACAACAAACTAATTCTGAGATTCGGGCAAAAAGATTGGGGCTGTGGTTGGTGTGGTAAGAACTTTCAGACATATATGTTATATAAATAATATACATATATTTAAAAAAGAAAATTGTCTAAAAAGATTAAAGCAAAATGTTATATTAAAACTAACTAAAAAAAATGAAGTATTGCCTTTTAGGGGCTCTTTCTGGTAATGGATGTCACCGCTCTCATTCTCTGCCATCTCTTACCTCCTGGTCTCTCTTGCTTATCAAGAGAAGACTATGTATGGCACTTGTATCCCAGCCTTTCCCCTGCCTCAGCTGAGGCCGCTATCCTCGTTGACTACCATGGCGACATGGATGCCTCATCAATATTGTGGGTCTGAGTCCTCATCTGCAGGGTCTTTGAGCTCTCTTTGGCATCCACTCCCATTTCCCATCTGGGACTTCATCACACCAGCATCTGCTCCACCTCCAAAACCAGTGGTGGAAGCAGCATCCTCTCTTCCCATCTCACTTGCTCAATGACTCCCACAAATACTACTCTTTGAATATTTTGGGAGGCTTTGATTCTTTCCTTATCTACCTGTCTATTAGATCTCTTCAGTCTTCACTTACCTCCTGATCCCATTTAGCCAACACTCTCAACTCCCTTGTACCTCTCTCTGGCAAAATATCACTTTTGGATGAACTGAAGTGTTTGCTCTCACCGTGAAATCACACACAGTTGCACCACAATAAATTTCACGGTCACCAACCTCAACAGGGGCCTTAGTATTGCTCACAGAACTCTCCGTTTCTCTCAGACCTCGGGCTTGCACCAGTCCTACTTATTCACCACTTGTCACTGTCACTTATTTTCTCAAACATGCCTGCCTGCCTCCCTGTTCGTCAGCACACCATGTTCACTGTCACCTCCACAAGGTAGTAGCTGCCTTGGTCAGATCCTCTCAGCCAGCTGGTGCATGCAGGGCTGAAGCCGGGTTATTAAGCCTTGTCTCAAATCATGACATCCTTGAGTTGTCATTCATGCTCCAGAGCTCCCCAGGAGACGAGGCTGAGGTGGACTCCAGCGGAGGCCACATCTTGCTGAGCTCCTTCCCCTGCCTTCTTCTGCTTATTCACCTTCCGATGTGTTTCTCCTAAGAGCACTCCTTCAACAGGTCAACTGCATAAAATCTCTGTCTTGGGCTCTGCTTCTAGAGCAGTTGACCTGAGACAACGCCTTTGCTGTCTTTCCATTTTCCCTAGAGCGTAATCACTTCTCCTCTGTAATTCTGTTTATCCTTTCAACCACAGATCAAATTCTCTCTTCCAAGAAGCTTTTTCAGACTTCAGTCTTCAAGGAATTGTCATTTGTTAATCACTCTTTTGATTGTTCATGGTTTCAGAAAAAAAAAAAAAAATACAGTAGGTCTAATACACCAGACATTCTGAAACTTCTGTGTGCAATGGACCTCTTTGGGAGGTGAAGCCACAGGTGAAGGCTGTGGAAATCTTTCTTAGAAGAGGCTTCTAAATACATAAAATAAATAGAATTACAAAACAAATATGATTAAGACAAGCCTGGGCAACATGGCAAGACCTCATGTCTACAAAATATTTAAAAATTAGCTAGGCATGGCGGCGCATGCCTGTAGTCCCATCTGTGTGGGAGGATAAGGTGGGAGGATTGCCTGAGCCCAGGAGTTTGAGGTTACAGTGAGACGTGATCACACCATTGTACCCCAGCCTGGGCAACAGACTGAAACTCTGTCTCTAAAAAGAGAAAAAGAAAAAAGAACAGAAGCTACCTTGCAACATATTACTATGTTTGCTGCTTTATTAATTCACTAAATCACACAATCTATCATTAGGTCAAATAATGCAAAAATAGGCATTAAAGTAAGTGACACTTTAAGATATCTACTACAACTAAAATGTGGTATGAAAATGTCTATACTTTTTAATGATTGACAAAGTCAAGGGTACTACAGGTAGCACTGTGATCTGCGACCTGCATTCATAATGAAAGGAAATGCTACACTTCAGTTAGAGGTTAGTGAGAATAAAGATGTGATTTTTGGGGATCCCCCCAGGTGCATAGTACCGATTCCTATTCATGGACACCTATGGGGTTCTGTAGACCCCAAGTTAGGACTCCTGTACTGGAGGATTTGCAAGCCTGGGAAGCAGACATTCAAGTCATTCATCTTCACACTGAACATTCAAGTATAGGCAGCTTATCCATCTTTATGGCCTCTTGTGCTAAGCAGAGGAGACTCCACAACAGTTAGAAGAGAACAAGATGGTATAACCTTCCTCCTCTGCCCTAAGAGACTGGTTAAGAAACTTCTCAAAGATCTTGACTGGATTTCTCCATTATTGGTCAAAGACACCCTTGTGGGGACTTGAAGGCCAGGAGAGCTTGCTGAATTCATGGGGAGAACACAGTGGCCTTCAGACAATAATTATCTCATCTCCTTGGCCTGTGTCCACTGGTAATCTCCATCAGTTCCTATCACCCTGGTGATGGCTGCTTTGTGTTTTATCAGTTAGCAGATATTTTTTGAGTGTTAGGCGGGGACCAAGTTTGTGGACAATTTAGGGATGGAAATGATGTAGTTACCCTCAAGAAAATTACGATTAAGACAAGCCTGGGCGATGTGGCAAGACCACATGTCTAGAAAATATTATCACCAGAGATCGGATTAAGATGGTACATCTCTTTTCTTTCTTACCCTAAATTTCCTGTAACAGAAAATGTAGTTTTTAAAAAGAGTAAATCTGGCCAGGCATGGTGGCTCACACCTGTAATCCCAGCACTTTGGCAGGCAGATCAGCTGAGGTCAGGAGTTTGAGACCAGCCTGGCCAACATGGTGAAACCCTGTTTCAACTAAAAATACAAAAATTAGCCGGGTGTGGTGGCACGTCCCTGTAATCCTAGCTAACAAGGAGGCTGAGGCAGAAGAATCACTGGAACCCAGGAGGCAGAGGTTGTAAATCTTCCATTTTGTTCTCAATCAGAAGGAGAAATATTTGGAGAAGAAAAATGGTGGTGAATGGTACTAGTGATTTGGAAGCTGGGACCATGGAGTCTATGGGAGCAAGCTGGTGGTGCTCTCTGGTTTTGATTGGTTTCATGGGATATATGAATGGAAATAGAGGAATGTGTTATATTAATGTTATATTAACTATAATAACAGCCCTATATTTACACAGTAGTTTTCATTTGCTCAAAACTCTTAATACATTATCTAATTTAATCTTCTCATCCTACTACTGTAGAGGAAAATGTCTCACCTAACGGATTGCAGAGGAGGCACAGAGTCTATGCTTTTGGTCCCCAAGATTAGAACCACTGTATCCTCTGCCTTGGGCTGGGAGAATGCCTTTGCCTTGCCACCTTTTTGGCTGGATGAGGTATATAAAAAGGAGGAACTTATCATAGAGAACCTAGCTAGTGGTTCTTAAATTTCAGTGTATTAACAAGGGGAGGCTGTTAGAGAAATATTTTCTGGGCCCCCATGACTGAGATTTGGATTCAGCAAATGAGGTATGACTCACAAGCCTGCATTTTTAACAAGTTGCTGTTGGTTCGTCTGGACAGTCGATCCAAAAACCACACTTCCAGAAGAGTGGGTCAGGCAAATCTTCCTGTATCAGTTTGTCTTTAGGTGAGTCAATTGTACACACCTAAAATCGTGACTGGAATTTTTTAAAGACGGGGTCCTGCTCTGTCTCCCAGGCTGGAGTCCAGTGGTGCCATAACGGCCCACTACAGCTTCCATCTCCTGGGCTCAAAGTAATCCTCCCACCTCAGCCTCCTAAGTAGCTGGGACTACAGGTGTGCGTCACCATGCCTGGCTAATTTTTATTTTTATTTTTTTTGGTAGAGCCGGTGTCTCCCGGCGTTGCCTAGATTCTTTTTATTTTTTATGATTGCTAATTTAAAGATCAGTCTGAAATTCTCTTTAGTCACACTTATATTATTGAACTCATTTCTGGCACCATTTATGGGCCTGTCCTGGGGAGTTCAAGTCCAGGACACACAATTAGGGAAACAACTGCCAGAGCAAAGAACAAGATCCTGTAAGAAGAAAACAAGGCGAGGCTGGGCACCGTAGCTCACACCTGTAATCCCAGCACTTTGGGAGGCCGAGGCGGGCAGATCATGAGCTCAGGAGTTCGAGACCAGCGAGTGTGTCCAATATGGTGAAACCTCGTCTCTACTAAAAAAAATACAAAAATGAGCCTGGAGTGGTGGCGCACGCCTGTAATCCCAGCTACTTGGGAGCCCGAGGTAGGGGAATTGCTTGAACCCGGGGGGGTTGAGGTTGCAGTGAGCCGAGATCGTGCCGCTGCACTCCAGACTGGGCAACAGAGCTAGACTCTAGTCTCAACAACGAGGCAATACGGAGGTATTGGGCACTCGGAGACTGGTGAGAAACCCGACAGACACCTCCCATAAACCGTGCTGTGTTCCTTGAGAGCCTGATATTACAGGTGTTCAGTGAATACCGGTTAAAAGAAAAACGCACTGCCACAAAAATTTTAACAGCTTCCTTAGGATTTTCTCTCAATCTTTCGTTAAGCTCAGGTCCTCATTTGATAAATATGACACTACATTTTTCGTATATTAAATATGGCGACTGAAATAAAGCCAGAGACAAAGTGCTTGCGCATCCTCCCCACCGGCAAGAAAGAGGAGAAACAGGCGGAAGCAGGCAGGTGCTGGTTGGTGCAGAGACACAAGCACCAAGCCGCCAGCACAGGGCGGAAGTCGGGGTACCGGGACGCGCCAGCTTCCGCCGTTACTTCCCACGCGACTTCCTGCGGAGAACATGGCGGCACTGAGCGGTGTCCGCTGGTTGACCCGAGTGAGGCGCGGGGACACGCCGGGCAGGGGCGGGTGAGGGAGAGGAGAGTTGGTCGTAGGGTTCCTAAACAGAGCAAAGTCACTGTCGTGTTCGGGGTCTGGAGGTCTCCAATCCGTCCTTACAGGCTTGTGTGTCCCTGTTGCAGGCGCTGGTCTCCGCCGGGAACCCTGGGGCATGGAGAGGTCTGAGTACCTCGGCCGCGGCGCACGCTGCATCGCGCAGTCAGGTATGCACGAATCTGGCCAGGGTCTCGCTCACGACCCTGTCCCTTCCTCGCTGCCCTCTCCCCTGGCTTTCCCCCACCCCTCCCGGGTTTCCCCACTTCCCTACTCCCAGGATCACTGCTCCCGTCCCAGCCCTATCTTTGCTTCTCCGCACTTCCCCCATTCAGGCCGAGGACGTGAGGGTGGAGGGCTCCTTTCCCGTGACCATGCTGCCGGGAGACGGTGTAGGGCCTGAGCTGATGCACGCCGTCAAGGAGGTGTTCAAGGTGAGTGGCCTCGGGAATCAGAGGACAGTAGAGGGTTGGAAAGGACTTGGCCTTGACTGTGATGTTTTGGGAACCTGTTTCCGAAGGCTGCCGCTGTCCCGGTGGAGTTCCAGGAGCACCACCTGAGTGAGGTGCAGAATATGGCATCCGAGGAGAAGCTGGAACAGGTGCTGAGTTCCATGAAGGAGAACAAAGTGGCCATTATTGGTATGTGTGCCCACTTGCCACTTGTCTATGTGCCATTTAAAATCAAATGACCAATGTTTATTAAGCCCTTCTGCCCACATGGTATGCAATTGTATTAATTCTCCAGGGCAACCACCACTGGTATTTGGAAATTTGTTCCTTCCTGTTGGGAACCCAGGTGTTGAGAGATTATGTCAGCTGTCTGTGCAGGAAAGTTCCAGGGGTTCTGAGTCTGTCCTGAGGCTACATCAACTGTCATCAACCTTGTTCATTGCATTTCTGGATTACCACTTCTATCTGCCCTTTTTCTTTTCTTCCCCTCCCGTCCCCTCTTCTCTCCCCTCCTCTCTCCCCTCCCTTTCTTTCTTTCTTTTTTTTTTTTAGACTGAGTCTCACTCTGTTGCCCAGGCTGGAATGCAGTGACATGATCTCGGCTCACTGCAACTTCTGCTTTCTGGGTTCAAGGGATTCTCCTGCTTCAGCCTCCCCAGTAGCTGGGACTACAGGTGTGCACCACCATGCCCAGCTAGTTTCTTTCTTTCTTTATTTTTTTTTTTGAGACGGAGTTTCGCTCTTGTTACCCAGGCTGGAGTGCAATGGCGCTATCTCGGCTCACCGCAACCTCCGCCTCCTGGGTTCAGGCAATTCTCCTGCCACAGCCTCCTGAGTAGCTGGGATTATAGGCACGTGCCACCATGCCCAGCTAATTTTTTGTATTTTTAGTAGAGACGGGGTTTCACCATGTTGACCAGGTTGGTCTCGATCTCTCGACCTTGTGATCCACCCGCCTCGGCCTCCCAAAGTGCTGGGATTACAGCTTGAGCCACCGCGCCCGGCCTAGTTTCTTTATTTTTAGTAAAGACAGGATTTTACCGTGTTTGACAGGCGTGTCTCAAACCCCTGACCTCCAGTGATCCACCCATCTCAAAAAGTGCTGGGATTATAGGTGAGCCACCACGCCTAGCTGCCCCTTTTCTTTTGCCTTGCCTGCTTTAATCTCATTTAATTTTTTTGTCTTATCTTGCAAAGAACAGCCTGACTTTTCCAGGCCCAGCCTTACCATAGGAAGGTCAGTTCTTTCCCTTTGGCCCTTAACTTTTTTTTTGCCTTGGTTCCAGAACTCTTGTTCTGTGCTTTGATCACTCTAGATAGTGTGTGTTAGATTCCAATATGTGCTACCTGACTTACACTGTTCCTTCTACCCAGAACTTACTTTCTTTAATGCTACTTGTCAGAGTCTTTCTCACTCATTCACTGTATTAGTTTCCCATGGCTGCCGTAACAAACTACCATGAACCTGGTGGCTTAACATAACAGAAATGTATTCTCTCACAGTGCTGGAGACCATAAGTCTGAAATCAAGGTGTTGGCAAGGCCCTGCTTCCTCTGAAGGTTTAGGAGAGAATCCTTTCTTGCTTGTTCTGGTGGCTCCTGCTGTTTTTTGACTTGCAGATGCATCGGTCCAATCTCTTGTTTCTTTCCCCTCTCTGTCTCTGTATTATTTTTCTCCTTAAAGATTTATCACTGGATTTAGGGCTCACCCTAATCCAGGATGATTTTGTCTCAATATCCTTAACTGAATTACATCTGCAAAGCCTCTGTTCCCATATAAGTCACATATATTGGTTCTGGGGCTCAGGACATGGACAGTAACTTCAGGGATCACTGTTCAGCCCATTGTACTCACTGAAACGAAGGCTTGGGCTGAAGTGCAGCTCTTCTGTGCTGTATCTTGATATTAATGGAGAGGATTTCCTCTGTGTTGCTATACAACTTTCCCATGATATTTATCATGTTTTTCATATTATCTGCCTTTCCCAGTGTACCATTTGTTTCTCGAGGGCAGGGGTTGTGTAGTTTTAGCTGCTATCCTTATTGCCTGACATGTAATTGATATTCAGTAGGTGTTGGATTAAAAAATGTCAAATAAGTAGAAGGCTCAGAAACACCTAAAAAGGTCACAGATCTGCTAGCATTGTCTCTCAACTTGTTATTAAACCCAGGTTCTTTCTTGATAAATAGAGAAAAAATCTGTTTTTCTCCGTTTTGAAATTTCAACATAAATTAAATATGGTGACTAGAAATAAAGCAATAAGTCTGAGGCAGGCAGATCACTTGAGGTCAGGAGTTTGAGGCCAGCCTGGCCAACATGGTGAAACCCTATCTCTACTAAAAATGAAAAAAATTAGCCGGTGTGGTGGCACATGCCTGTAATCCTAGCCTACTGGGAAGGCTGAGGCAGGAGAATTACTTAAACTTGGGAGGCAGAGTTTGCAGTGAGCCCAGATTGCTCCACTGCACTCTAGCCTGGGTGTCCAAGTGAGACCCTGTCTCAAAATAAAAAAATTTAAAAAAGCAATAAATGAAATGTTTCTGGCTTTAACTATACATTATTCTCCTTTGCCCCTTGCCCCCAGAGGCAATTTAAAAGTTACTGATTTGGGAGTGGGAGATGGGAGTCTGGGTTACATTATGTTCCTAAGGGGGTTAGACACTGGTCTGGGCTCCCTTTGGCTTGGCCTGTGCTTGACACTCCTTTCCCCACTTTGTTTATGCAGGAAAGATCCATACCCCAATGGAGTATAAGGGGGAGCTAGCCTCCTATGATATGCGACTGAGGTAGGTGGTGGGGGTAGGGCGAATGCTTTAGAGGCGCCAGGCAGGAGCAGAGCTGATGGCCCTGCCTACCCACAGGCGTAAGTTGGACTTATTTGCCAACGTAGTCCATGTGAAGTCACTTCCTGGCTATATGACTCGGCACAACAATCTAGACCTGGTGATCATTAGGGAGCAGACAGAAGGGGAGTACAGCTCTCTGGAACATGAGGTAAGGCCCAGAAACTGGGGGAGGGCAGGGACGAAGGTGGGAGAGAGCTGGAGCTCCTTGTTTCCCTTCCCAGTGTCACCTAGCTGCTGCTCTCTTCTTACCCAGAGTGCAAGGGGTGTGATTGAGTGCTTGAAGATTGTCACACGAGCCAAGTCTCAGCGGATTGCAAAGTTCGCCTTTGACTATGCCACCAAGAAGGGGCGGGGCAAGGTCACTGCTGTCCACAAGGCCAACATCATGTGAGGGACATGGCTTTATGTAGGGTGGGTTCCTGGGAAGGTAGCCCCCGCACTTTCTTGGCTGATCTGTCCCCTTTGGCCCATGGACAGGAAACTTGGGGATGGGTTGTTCCTGCAGTGCTGTGAGGAAGTTGCTGAACTGTACCCCAAAATCAAATTTGAGACAATGATCATAGACAACTGCTGCATGCAGGTGAGGCCCTCCCCACATCTCCACTCATAGGGCTGAGAAGGAGAGTGGAGTGGAATTCACTTCATGCCTACTTCTCACCCTCTAGCTGGTGCAGAATCCTTACCAGTTTGATGTGCTTGTGATGCCCAATCTCTATGGGAACATTATTGACAATCTGGCTGCTGGCCTTGTTGGGGGAGCTGGTGTGGTCCCTGGTGAGAGCTATAGTGCAGAGTATGCAGTCTTTGAGACGGTGAGTGAGGCTGCTTTATCCCTCAGCCGTTGCTACGTCCCGTCTCTGACCCCAAGCCTGGCATTCCTCCCTCATCTCAGCATCTCCCCTTCCTAAGTGATCTTGGCCTGTTCTTCCCCCACGCTGCCCACCATGCCTCTTTTCAGTGATCCTGGCCTGACCTCCCCCTCCCATAATGTCTTTTTCCAACCTGAGCCTCTGCATACCCCTCCTGCCTCCTCCCAGTGTCTAGCCTGCCCCTCTCTCCACAGGGTGCCCGGCACCCATTTGCCCAGGCAGTGGGCAGGAATATAGCCAATCCCACGGCCATGTTGTTGTCGGCTTCCAACATGCTGCGGCATCTCAAGTAGGTCATGGGAGGCTGCGGGCAGAGAATGAGTGTTGTGAGGAGGAGCCAGGTGGGGAAATTGGGGGAAGTGTTTTGGGGCAAGTCTCAGTTTCTTCCCGTCCATATCCACAGTCTCGAGTATCACTCCAGCATGATTGCAGATGCGGTGAAGAAGGTGATCAAAGTTGGCAAGGTGAGTTTAGAGGAGTAGTGCTGGCTTCAGGGTTTAGAGTAGTCCTGGGGTCAGCACCTTGGCACTACTCCCTGGGGAAGCTGAATGGGGATCGCCTTTTCCCCAGGTCCCCAGGACATCTGTTCCCTGACATTCCCGCATCCTTCTCAGGGCTGCTCTTCACCTCCCTTCTCTTGGCTGTTTCATCCTCTTTATCTCTTTTGCCTCTTAGATCCCATCTGCTGTTCCCTCTTTCCTGCTCCATTCACTGCCCTTTTCATGGGCCATCTGAATGCAGACTTGCAGCTTTTCCTGGGGGTGGAACAGCAAGGGATACAGGCAGGCTGAGGCACCAGCTTCACCTTCACATCCCATCTCCTTTCCCCTGCCTGGTCTTGTCCACCCACCTGGTCCTGTCTCTATTTCTTCCAAGGAGGGTAGCTACATCCCCTCTGATCTGCATTTCCCATCATCTTTGCCTGCTCAGCCTCCTTCCTGCCCTGGCTGCAGCACAGTTAATAGTGGCTTAAGAGGCGTGGGCAGGTCCATGTGCTTCCCAGCCTGGCTCCTTCCATCCTGCTGCACTGCCTCTTTTTTCTGGCTATCTGTCATGCCTTCTTGGATTCCATCTCATTCTTGGATTCCATTTCCTCAGTCATGTTGCCCTACCTCCCTTCATGGGCTCTCTTTTCTTCCTCCCCACGGCTATTGCCGGTGGTGGCTGTAGGTGCGGACTCGAGACATGGGCGGCTACAGCACCACAACCGACTTCATCAAGTCTGTCATCGGTCACCTGCACCCCCATGGGAGCTAGAGCCCTTTATTTCAAGGACCACACTCCCCATACCGTTCAGTGCAGTGGACCAGAAGAGACTTTGCGCCTCTAGGCAGTGTACCATGGTCACCTTACTGGGCAGGGCCTAGGTTGTCCTTGGGCTGGCTTCCTTAGGGAACAGACTGCTGGGTGGTGATGGGGATTTTGTTGGGATGGAGCCCAGGCCACATGGATGATGATGATTCTCCCCCACAGGTTCGAACCTCTGACATGGGTGGCTATGCTACTTGCCATGACTTCACTGAGGCTGTCATTGCTGCCTTGCCTCACTCATAGGCCCTGTCCATACCCATCTAAGGTGTTCAATAAAAAGCATGAACCAACTTTTCTGAGTTTGTTTTTATTGGGGAACAGGACACAGGGTGGGGAATGTCACCTTGGGCTCTGGTATGTCCCACCTCCCAGAGAATGTAATGTCCATTTGCATTCTAATCTTCCTGGGCTTCTTTACGGAACTTTTTCTTCTTCTTGGAGCTGCTCTTGCTGCTAGTAGCCTCTTCAGGTCCACTGCTGACTGGCTCCTCTTTGGAGAATTTCCTCTTTTTCTTGGAGACACTTCTGCTGCCTGCCTCTTCGGGGTCATTGACTGTTTCCTCCTTGGGTGATGATTTCTTCCTCTTGGGAAGACTGGGGCTGCCAGTGGTTTCTTCAGGATCACTACTCATCAACTCCTCCTTGGAAAAAGATTTCTTTTTCTTGGGTTTGGAGAAAGAAGTAGACGGGTCTTCCATTCCATTCTCCTGAGGAACCTCCTGGGGCTTTTGCTTTTTTTTCTTCTTTTTGGGTTTTTCACTTGCCTCCTAAAGGGAAGGACAGGGGAACAGACTGTGAGAACAGTGTCATCTATTGAAATGTGCACACATAGCCCCCTTTATATTTTCAGCAATTAAGTAGCCAAGGCAGGGAAACCTGTGTAGTTGTTAATGTTGCCCAGTGTTTCTGGGATAGTTTTAATTGTGTGGGTGTAACTTTAGAAATCCATCCCAAAGGCTATCCCAAATTAGAAGTTAAGGACATGTAGTAAATTACCTCAGCCCATTTATTTAAAAAAAAAAAAAAAAAAAAAAAAAAAAAAAAACCCTAAAGAAAAACCCACCATGCTGGTCACAACAGAACCATCATGCCAAGTTCCAGACAGGGCCCTGAAACGCTGTTTAAGAAACTGGGTGCTAAATGAAAATCCCAGGGAGAATGATTGTAGCCTAGCACACTGGGGACCGCCCTGCCCCCATCCCCACTGTGAACACTACCACCTCCGGACACACGTCTGAGAATAAGCAGAGCAGGAATTTACACTACCCCAGGTTGAGGACTCCTGGGAGGCAGCCGAGGACAGAACACACATGCCCAGGGAACGGGTGTGAGCTACAACCAGCTCTCTGGGCTCTTGAGCAAGTTCTCTCAGCACCTATCTCCTTCCTATAGAATCAAGAGGTAGTTTTAGATGTTTCAGGTCCTTGTTTCAGTCCAAAAGCCTGGACTCAAGACCATGGCTTGATGCAGCACATCCTTTGTTCTGCTGTTGAAAACCCTACAACCTAGGATCTTTGCAAGGGCCAAGCTGCCTACTGACCTCACACTCCTCAGGAGTACTACTGCTGTTTTCTGAAGATGCGAGGGCAAGTGCAGCCAGCCGTTTCTTTTCCTTCTTTAAGCGTTTCTTCTCCTGTTTCTCCAGCTTCCTAGTAATCTCAGCAGCCGCTTCCTCTGCCTGGTCAAAGAGAAGTGCTAAAAGGGCCTGAAGACCTCTGGTGCTCTGAGGACTCTTTTTTCTGGCTTTATTGGATCAGGCTCATTAAATCAGTTTTTTTTTTTTGCCTCCACTCTACAAGGTCAGGCTCAGACAGTTCATCAACTCCAACAGCCAGCTATGCCTCCCTACACCCAGCAAAGCCCAACTGACCTCAACCATTGCTTCCTTCATGACATCCAGATTCTTTCGTGGAATCTCTCCAGTCTCATAGAAGGACAGTCGCTCTTCAACTTGTTCTCGAAGTTTCTCCCCAAATACACTCGTGGGCACCTCTGGACGTGTGTGTGGGTAACAAAGCCTGTCAGCCCAGAGAAAAACTACCCCCACCCCGTGTTCCCTCTACCCTCAGCTTCACTCAGACCCAGACTCTCAACACTCACTAGGTGAACTGCTGTTGACGAAAAATATTGCCATCATTGTGGAAGCTGCTATGGTTGCAAGCCTCCCCACCCACCCAGCCAGCCCCTTCTCACAAATGCCAAACCCCCCCACCCATACCAGAGAAGCAATCGATTCGTGAGGCAATACTGCATTTGTTTGCCAGGTATCGGGAGATTCGGCCCTTGTTCTTGGCAGCTGCTCGGCCAATGAAGGTGGAGTGGAAAATGAGTCCATATTTTGGTGTGTTACCCCTTGTCTTCAGGGCTCTGAGAGAATAGTCAGTGGAGAGTTTAAGATCAGAAATTTCAACCCCCTTAGCCAAGGCAGCTCAGCTCCTCCCCTCCTCTCACCCCCAAGTCCCGAGTGAGCCTCAGGCCAGATTGGATCTCTACCCCAATGCATGCCAACCCATAGCTCCCAGAGGCAGAGGGAAGGCATCCAGTGTCGCTGACCTGGAGACTTGGTCCCTTTGCTGGGCCCTGGGAATCACTCAGACACCAGGACTGGCCATCACCCCCATAGCAGAGGCCTGTATAGGTCAGGGAGCCCTGGTCAGCCATCACTGTGATCCCCCAACAAGAGGCGGGCACCAGAAGTGGCACCTGAATGTGGGCAGGTGCCCTCACTGGTACCTGAACAGGGCCTTTTCAGCCCCAAGGATTTGCACTGTGGATGCCGGATACTTGGCCAGGTTGGTGAGGCTGCCAGCATGCGCGATGAGACGTGCACCTACCTGGAGAGAGAGTCAAAGAAGCAGTCAGAGAAACGAACTGCCGACCTTCCACTGCAAGAGAGCCCTACTTGCTCCCTCCCCATCAAGCACAACTAGGGAAGATATGGTGGGTCAGGAAATACAGCAGTGCAGGTGCACATGGCAACAGTCCTTATTCTCCCATTTTTTGTGTCCCCTGTGACGCACCGCTTCCCCAATTAGGGCTGACAGGCTGGGGGCTACTTGGCTCATCTTGGAGCGCAGGTAAGTGTGTAGGCTCTGGCGGTACTCAGATAAAGACACCACACGACTGGAGAAGCTCTCGATGTTTATCAAGTCAATGGCAGATATGTCCATGCCTAGGAAAAACCAAGTGTGAATGCAGAAGGCCAGATATTCAGAGCCCCATACCTTATGCAGGCTGCCAGGCTCTGCACTGACCCATGGAGGACCGTGAGGCATCCAGAATAGCCTTAGCCTTGGCCCCATCCATCGTTAGCTCCTCCAGCTTCTCCAGCTTCTCCTCATTCAGTTCCCTTCGGTTTCCAATAACCTGGGCAAGACGGCAGTATGTGGCATTGTCGTTGATGATCTTCACCAGCTCCGGAAAGTGATAGCCATACCACTCCCTGAAAAGAACCACAGTCACCCCCTGGCCCAGCTGCTTCATCAAAAATCACAGAGCTACAGCCTCACCCTCTCCACACCTACTCTATGCCTGGAGGAAATGGGAAAAAGATTCAAATCTTCCTCAATTCCATGTTCCCCCATTCACAATACAGACCAGACACAGGGCCTGAGCTGAGGTGTATATGGAGTAGGTTTACTCTACCTCCTCTTTCTATACAGTCAGTGTAAGAACACAGCCTGTGGTAAGCATCAGGAGGCTTACCTAGCCCCAGCCCACATGATTCTACCCACAGGATGGTCAGTCCTCATCAAGACTCAAAATTAGCTAAACTACAAACCAAAGGCTCCAATACTATGGGTGGCCTCTGCACTTTACCTGACTCGCATAGAGAAGGTATTGATGTCTTTATCCAGCTGGTCCAGGAGGCTAATGGATTGGATGATCATATTGTCCACTCGGTTCACATTAAACTTAACTTTGGCACGAGAATAGCTGTGTCCCAGGCCCAGCTGTGCTTTACAAGCTGACAGATCAGTCAGACCCTTCACCAGATTGTGGAAGTGCAGACGAACTCCTAAGAGGAGGGCAGGACTATAAGCAACAAAGGGCTCTGAGCTTGCTTCTGTACCCTTGGGAACCAGCCAAGCGCAAGGCCTTCCCAGAAGTAACAAATATCCGAGTTTCTAGAACCCCACTCCCCCCAAACGCCAAGGTTACCAGGAATATACAAGAGGATGGTCTTACCTCGCAGGATCTCAGCTATCACGCCTCCAGTCTGGCAGTTGTACCCTAACTCCTCCTGTATTGCAGCACCAATCTTGGGATCCCCAACTCCCAAGAGTACTTTCTTCTTTTTGGACGGCAGGTAGGTCTCCAAGAGCAGGCGGAGGTCCTCATGAACAACCCCTCAAGGGAAACAAAACAGTTCTCATTAACAGGCTAAAGGGTAATTAATTCTAACATCTCCTCAGCCAATACCCTGGTCCTGCCACGTAAACCCCTCCCCATCAGGCACTGCTCAGAGACATGGAGACATCAGTAATTGCACTCAGGGGATTGACAGATTAGATTACCAAGTCATCACTGCAAAGCCTGGCCCAGCCATGGGAACTGTACTCAGGTCTGATGGCACAAGTGTGCAATAAATAATAGCTTGTAACACAACCTCAAGTATTTAGTATTAGGATTTGCCTTCTGTAACCAAACCTTTTTTTCTTAGCCTGTGTTTATCCAACTGCCCCTTCCAATCAAAGAGAAAGCAGAGAACCAGACACTTGATTGTGTTTAGGTAAACTCGGGTCCCTGGTAGTGTTAAACCAACTCCCCCTTTAAGAATCATTTGTCAGCCGGGCGTGGTGGCTCATGCCTGTAATCCCAGCACTTTGGGAGGCCGAGGCGGGTGGATCACGAGGTCAAGAGATCGAGACCATCCTGGTCGACATGGTGAAACCCCATCTCTACTAAAAATACCAAAAAATTAGCTGGGCATGGTGGCGTGTGCCTGTAATCCCAGCTACTCAGGAGGCTGACGCAGGAGAATTGCCTGAACCCAGGAGGCGGAGGTTGCGGTGAGCTGAGATCGCGCCATTGCACTCCAGCCTGGGTAACAAGAGCGAAACTCCATCTCAAATAAATAAATAAATAAATAAAACAATCATTTGTCAGCCGGGAGCGGTGGTTCACGCCCTTAATCCTAGCACTTTGGGAGGTGGGCGGATCACCTGGGATCAGGAGTTCAAAACCGGCTGGCCAAAAATTGTGAAATTCCCTCCCTACTAATACAAAAATTGGCCGGCCATGGTGGTGTGCGCCTGTAATTCCAGCCATTCAGGAGGCTGAGGCAGGAGAATCGCTTGAAGTCCGAGGCGCAGGATGCCCTCAGCCGAGATCCCACCACTGCACTCCCGCCTGAGCAACAGATTATGTCCGGAGGGAGAAAGGCGGGGAGAGGGCCGGGCGCCTGGAGCAGAGTGCGGTGGATCACGCCTAGCACTTTGGGAGGCAGAGGTGGGTGGCTCACGGGAGCTCAATGGCAAAACCCTGCCTCTGTTAAAAACACAAAAAATTGTCCAGGCCTGGTGGCACAGGCCTGTAATCCCAGTTACCCAGGAGCCGGAGGTTGCACTGAGTCCAGATCGCGCCAGCGCACTCCAGCGTGGGCGACAGAGACTGTCTCAAAAAAAAAAAAAAAAAAAAAATTACAGTGCCCATAAGAAAACGTAACACATATCCTACATCGCCTGCTTTAAATGGTTTAGTCTATCACAGTTTCCAGACCTTGAGCTCTGTAAAGACAATTATTTCTAATTACATATTGTACGTTTCAAACACTGCCTCGTATCTATCAGACTTGGAACTAGCCAAGGACGGCAAATACTATCGCATGCCGCCCGACAGGATACCGGAAGGAACCACATCTCCGAGATACTTGGCAGTGGTCGACTCACCTTCAGACACGGCATTGGCATTTTCCAAGGCAACCTGGGACGAGGAAAAGGGACAAAAGGCCACCAGACGAACGACATTGTGGAATTTGCCCAGGTTGAGTACGGACTCCTCCACCTGGGGGAATAAAGAGGCCGAGTGGTTTCCTTCCCTCCCTCCTGCCTCTGCGGGGCAGTAAAGTAAAGCAGCAGCGCTCAGCCTTGGAAGCTCTTAAAATAGGCCGATACCCGGGCCCCACATCCTAGCTTCTGCTTTAATCGTTCCAGGGCGGAGTCCAGGACGCTTATTTCAAACCGCTAGAGCGATCCTACCCATGAGTCAAGGTAAAATAAAGACCCCCGGCTCTAGAGCTTTCCAGGCCCTCCCCCTCTTCCCCCACCGAAGCGCGCGGCGACCACGTGGGAGCGCGCGGTGGATGCTGGGACCTGTGCGGTGAGGGTCTGCAGGGAGGCCGGAGGATCCCACGTATCTCACCCACCTGCGGCTGCAGCAGACTGATCTCCTCCACTTCCTTCAGCGCCAGCAGCGCGTAGCCGACTGCGTGCTCAAACAGCACGTGCAACAGCACCTGTAACCGGAGCCGCGGCGCGAGCGTAAGCTCAACCTCCGTGTTTGCCAGAACCCGCTCCAAAGGAAGGCACAGACCCAGGCCCAGGCTCTGACTCTGGCCCGAACCCAGGCCCAAACCCCCACCTACGCGTCGTCAGTGCCCCGCAACCACTCCTCACCATGGCGCCCGCTCCTGGCTCAGCTCGCAATGCGGCTAGCGCGCTCCGGCGCGCGGAACCACACTCTAGAGGCCACGCCCCCGTCCGACCGACCAATCGGAGACCAGGGACGGTACCATCTCCGGCCTTCCGAGGGGCCGCCCGGGGTGGTATCGCCCGGAGCGCGGGCGAGGTGGCACCGAGCGCGGGCTAGCAGGCGTTTCCCGGCCTCTGCAGCTGCGCGGGCAAGCCGGTGGCCGGGGACGCGCGGCCCTGCATCGGGTCTTGCAGGCTGCGCAACGACTTGGAAAGGCGCTTTCGGGATAATAGTCCGGTTCCTGATGTTCTCATATAAGCTTCCCGTCATATAAGTTGCGGGCAGCAGAGCTGGGCGAAGTTAGGGCGGGAGGCTCCGCGTGGGGCGTGGCGTCCATCCCAGACCGAGACCGCTGCCGAGCGGGCTTCCCTGCGCCCCTCGTCCCTGGGACCCATCCGTTCCCGTCCCTTATTCGGGGACGAGCCTCCACGGCGCCGGGTGGGCCGCGCGTCCTTTCTTCTTCCACGGAACGGGAGCAGTACCTGGCACGCTCTGGCGCAGATACTGCTGGGAAAGCGGCTCGCGCAGTTTTCTTCGTACTATTAATTTTATTTATTATTTTTTAAAATGACGGTGGCAGGCAGTAACGTGCGAAAGACGCTCCAACGTCTTCCTAGGCCAGTTTCTTGTTCCTTTTCTGCACGGGACCCAGGTCCTTTTGCCGAGCCACGTGTTGCGTTGCCGCCTGAGCAGCCCTGAATTCTGAGCGCCGGTGAGCGCCGAGTGAATCGGAGCTGCTTCCCTGTCCTCGAGGGCGTCTTTGGGGCACTCAGGCGACTATTTAGAAATGGGTTCTGCTTTAATAATTAATATTAACGTTTTAAATCCAACACCTAGTTACACTTAAGTAGTATATCCGCTGGTACATTTTAAAGTCATTCTAAGGAAAAAAAATTTTTTTGAGACGCGGAGTTTTGCTCTTGTCGCTCAAGCTGGAGTGCAACGGCGCCATCTCGGCTCACTACCATCTCGTTCTCCCGAGTTCAAGCGACTCTCCTGCCTCAACCTCCCGAGTAGCTGAGATTACAGGTGCCCATCACCACGCCTGGCTAATTTTTGCATTTTTAGTAGAGATGGGATTGTTTCACCGTGTTGGCCAGGCTGGTCTCGAACTCCAGACCTCAGGTGATCGACCCGCCTCGGCCTCCCAAAGTGTAGGGATTATAAGCATGAGGCACTGCACCTGGCCTCTAAGGGGATTTTCAAAAAATAAAGGCTGTATAGCTATAAACTGCATTTATACATTTAATTGTTATTTCGTTAAGTGATTGAATTACTTGACAAAATCCAAGTACACAGTTCAGACACTAATATGTTAAAACTGAAAAATATGGTTGGTAAATCTTAAACTCTGATAATCTCAATATTAACCACACATATGGTTAAATTGTTACACATGTCGATATTTAGTCTGAATCATTACTCCATTTCACATTTTAAAATGGAATTGCAAAATTAATCCGTTACATACTTTAGCATGTTAAATTTTTAAGCGTTGTGAATACATCACATTAAACAATTCCAAAATGTAATGGAAAATATTAATGCTAAGACTTCAGTTATTTATGTCCTTAATCCTGAATCTTCTTGGGTTACAGATGCTTATCCAGTAAACCAGGGGTTTTCAAGCAAGAAGTCAGAATGCATTAATGGATGGTAGGATTAATCTAGTCATTAATGGCTAGCATTAAAAAAATAGGATTGGTCAGGCTGGTCTTGAACTCCTGACCTCAGGTGATCCACTCACCTTGGCCTCCCAAAGTGCTGGAATTACAGGTGTGAACCACTGTGCCCGGCCCTAAAATCTGAAAGTTTTTGAGGGCTGATGTGATGCTCAAAGGAAATACTTGGAACTTCACAGATTTTGGATTTTCTTCATTATTTATTTATTTATTTTTGGAGACGGAGTCTTGCTCTGTCGCCCAGGCTGGATTGCAGTGGTGCAATCTTGGCTCACTGCAACTTCGTCTCCTGGGTTCAGGCAATTCTGGCTCAACCTCCCAAGTATCTGGGACTACAGGTGCATGCTGCCATGCCTGGCTAATTTTTTGTATTTTAGTAGAGATGGGGTTTCACCGTGTTGCCAGGCTGGTCCCAAACCCCTGAGCTCAGGCAATCTGCCCGCCTCAACCTCCCAAAGTGTTAGGATTATAGGCATGAGCCATTGCCTAATTATTTTTTTGAAGCAGAATCTCTGTCACCCATCACAGCTCAGTGCAGCCTCAACCTCCTGGGCTCAAGCAATCCTCCCACTTCAGCCTCCTGAGTAGCTGGAACTACAGGGGTGCACCACCATGCCTGGCTGATTTTTTCCTCCCCCCCACCCCCCCTCCCCATTTATTTTGTAGAGACAGGGTTTTGCCATGTTGTCCAGGCTGATCTTGAATGCTTGAGCTCAAGTGATTTGCCTGCCTTGGCCTCTCAAAGTGCTGCAATTATAGACATGAGCCACACCACTCCTGGCTTATGTTTTAAAATTTTTGTATTTTTAATTTTTGTGAGCACACAGTATGTGTATATATTTATGGAGTGCACAAGGTTTTGATACCAGCATGCAATTTGTAATAATCACCTCAGGGTAAATGTATGTGATTTTCTTCCATCTCTGCCACCCCTAAGACAGGAAGACCAACCCCTTTTCTTCCTCTCCTTCTCAGCCTGCTCAGCGTGAAGATGACAAGGATGAAGACTTTTATGATGATCCACTTTCACTTAATGAATATGAAATATATTTTCTCTTCTTTCTGATCTTAATAACATTTTTTTCTAGCTAGCTTATTCTATGGCAAGAATACAGTATTAATACATGTAACATATAAAATATGTGTTAACTGATTCAACAACAAGCCGTTAGTAGTTAACTTCTGGGGAAGTCAAAAGCTATACATGGGTTTTTTACTGCACGGGGGTCAGCACTCCTAGCCCCAGTGTTGTTTGAGGGTCAACTGTGGATATGAATTTGGAGCCTCTGTGTGACAGCTGCCTTGTAAATAGAATTTCTCAATGGAGTTTTTTTTCTCCTCTACTTTCTGCCAATGTCAAGTAGATACATGTCTCTCTCTGCATGGCAGGTTGCTTATTGTCTATTATTGAGCATGAGGAACTTGGTGCTCCAGCTTTGGGTGGGTCCTTCCCTACCTACTTCGGAGCACATCTGAAGTGACTTTACTGAGCTGAGGGCTACCAGCATAGTGAGTGCCATTGGTAACCTGCCCAGATCACCTTACTGGCTGGTGCGTCAGCCCCTCCCTCACTGATTTCTGAGTGTACAAATTTGTGAGTGTACAAATCAGCCAGAGTCCAGGCATCCCCTTTGCTCTTCTTCACCTAAAATGTCTTACTACTCATGTGATTCTGTGTACTATGGAGGTCTTAGGAAATAGAAATGGAAGTTGGGGTTATTAGAAGTGAAAGGATCAGCCTGCAAAAATAGCCTCCAACAGATAAAATCCAGTGTTTGCTCCATTTCTGTCCAGTAAGGAATGTGCAGCCAAACCAGGGAAATATCAGCAGGACACCAGTTATATTTCTCTGAATAGGTTAACTTTTTCTTTTCCTTTCTTTTTGTGTCAGACAGAGTCTTGCTCTGTTGCCCAAGGTGGAGTGCAGTGGTGCAATCTTGGCTCACTGCAATCTCTGCCTCCTGGGTTCCAGTGATTCTCCTGCCTCAGCCTCCCAAGTAGCTGGGATTACAGACATGTACCATCACAACTGGCTAATTTTGGTATTTTTAGTAGAGACGGGTTTTACCATCTTGGCCAGGCTGGTCTCAAAATCTTTACCTCAAGTGATCCACCCACCTCAGCCTCCAGAAGTGCTGGGATTATAGGCGTGAGCCACCATGCCTGGCCAGAGTTTTCTTGATAGAGGGTCTTGTAATTTGAATTAGAAATTTTTCTGTGGCTGGGTGTGGTGGCTCATGCCTGTAATCCTAGCATTTGGGAGGCCAAGGTGGGTGGATCACCTTCTTTCAGGAGTTTGAGACCAGCCTGGCCAACATGGAGTAACCATGTCTCTACTAAAAGTACAAAAACTAGCAGGGTGTGGTCGCAGGCACCTGTAATCCCAGCTACTCGGGATGCTGAGGCAGGAGAACTGCTTGAACCTGGGAGGTGGAGGTTGCAGTGAGCTGAGATTGTGCCACTGTACTCCAACCTGAGTAAGAGACTCTGTCTCAAGAAAAAAAGAAAAAGAAAGAAAATTTTCTGTTAAAATATGTCCATAAATGTTTTGATAACCTTCCCTTCAAGAAGTGAAGCCTAATTCCCTTCTCTTTCAGTGTGAGCTAGACTTAGTGACTCAGTTCTAATGAGTAAAAGTGGTAGAATTGATAGTGTGACTTCTGAGACTAGGTCATAAAAGGCATTGTGGCGTCCTCCTTGCTCTCCTCAGATCGCTTGCTCTGGAGGAAACCAGCAGCCATGTTGTGAGGCCACCCAAGCAGCTCTATGGAGAGCCTCACATGGAGAGTAACCCAGGTCCCCTTCAACAGCCAGCAAAGAACCAAAGCCTCCTGCCAGTAGCCATGTGTGAGCCATCTTGAGAGCAGATCTTTGATTTACAGTCAGACCTTCCAGTGACTGTGGCTGAGAATTTGACTGAAATATCCAGAATCACATCTGAACGAGAAAAAAAGAAAAAGAAAAAAGAAAATAAAGTAAAAAATTAAAAATTAAAAATTAAAAAAATTAAAAAAAAAAAAACAAAAACAGAATCACATCTGCCTAGCTAAGCCACTCCCAAATTTATAACCCACAGAACAGAAACTACATACAATAATAAATAATTGTTTGTTGTTTTAGGCTGTTATGTTTTGGGAATAATTTGTTATGCGGCATTAGGTAACACATACATTCCATCACATAAAATTACACTTCATCAGATCAGGATGGTTTGTTTGTGTGTGTGGTGGGTATTTAGGTGTATTAGTAACCAGGGGAGGCCTGGCAGTAATCACTAGGGGGGACCAATGGCTCAGGCAGGCAGAGTGTTCCCTTCCTCAGGGCCCGACATTCTGACACAGAAGGCCAGGTGTTGGTGTGGTGGCCATCTTTGGGCCTTCTGGTCCTGAGTGCCAGGATCCCTGTATTGAGGTCTCAGGTAGGTTAGCTTGGGGGAAGGCATTATGACACAGGCGGTTTTGGATTTGGGGATTGGACCTGGGTTCCATGGAAATCGGGCGTTGCAACATGTCTCTTTAACCTTGCCAGGAGACAGATTGGTGTAAAATAACTTATCCTGTTTCGCCTGGTCACATGTCCCTATTATTCCATTGCAGTTTGTATATATGTGAAGTTTTGGTGCTGGGTCGAGAAGGGAAAGGATTTGGGAGGGAAGTTAGAAATTATTTTAATTGTACAACTTATGAAATGGCTATAAAAATCTCCAACTCTACCAGGATTTTGCCCGACTTCCTGGGTATGGAGATTCTCCTGAGAACCTCTGGAGACCTGGTTGGGTGGTGGCTGCAACAGCTGGTATGGTACACTCAGAGACATGGGGTGAGAGAGTCCCTTGATCCCGAGGCCACACTGCTCACCTGGGTCTGGGAGCACAGAGTGGAGGAACGGAAGGAGCTGTCTGCAAGATAGCTGGGCTGTTGCAGAGTCCTGGACTGTGACTCCCACCCTGCCAAGGCTCTGCCTTTGCCATCAAGGCCTTCTTAATGGTCTGGCCCCTGGCTTCTTCCCCCTAAGAAATATTCCGCATAGAACCATGATATGACACTAAGTGAATATAGAATCCAAGAAATAACGCTCTGCATTGTACCTTTTGTAAAACTTTTCAAAGAAACCATCTTCAAGGTCCCTTGTACAATAATCTGGTTATTGAATTCCTTTTAAAATTTGGTGCATGAAAAATATTTTTCTGCCGTGGGGAAGTTTTCTTTTGAGATAAGAGGCACCGGGCGGCTCACTTGCTCCTGTGATTCACTGCTAGGAGGCTGCAGTCCCTGTTTTGTGCTCCATGGTGTAAGCTTCCCTCGGGCTGAGTACTGGGGTATCGCCAATCTTCCCACCACTCCCCACCCACCATGACTGGTCTTTGATCCATTTACCTTTATTTTCATTCACTTCTTGGACATTTTATTTGTTTGTTTGTTTATTTAATTGTAGAGACAAGGGTCTTTCTATCTTGCCCAGGCTCGTCTTAAACCCCTGGCCTCCTACTTTGGCCTCTTAAAGCGTTGGGATTACAGGTGTGAGCCACCATGCTTGGCCAGATTTTCCGTTGTTATTGTTGTTGTTGAGACAGGGTCTCACTCTGTTGCCCAGGTTGGAGTGCAGTGACATGATCTTAGCTAACTGCAACCTCTGCCTCCTGGGCTCAAGTGATGCTTTTGCCTCAGCCTCCTGAGTACCTGGGACTACGGGGTGCACGGCACCACACCTAGCTAATATTTTTGTAATTTTTGTAGAGATGGGGTTTCACCATGTTGCTCAGTCTGGTCTTGAACTCCTGGGCTCAAGCGATCCACCCATCTTGGCCTCCAAAAGTGCTGGGACTACAGGTGTGAGCCACTGTGCCCGGCTCACTTTCTCTGGACTGAGAAACGTAGGCCCTTCTGCATCCCCCTCCCAGTTAAGGGAGCTGGCAGAAACCTGTGTCCCATGGGAAAAGTCTAAGAGGGTGATCATGGCCCTTCCGCAACTCCCAAAGTCTGGCGTCAAGGTCGACCACTGTGAGTGTGGGGTTCAGAACTGTCTGAACCAAGATATTGGGGAGGGCAGTTGGTGCAGAGATGGCTCCAGCTTTCCTGGAGGACAGTTGAAGCCACTGTCTTCCTCCTTTGGTAGCTGACAAACACCTGAAGGAATCAAAGTTCTCACATTCCAAGAGAGAAAAGAGAGCATGTATGTGAGAGGAAAGAAGGGAGAGAACCTTGATTTGGTGTGTGTAAAACTGGGGAACTTGAGGATCAGCCCCAGGATCGGGGCTCCTTGGAGTCCCAGCCGTCAGTGGGGAGGTCTCTGAGCACTCTTCCCAGGGGCTGACCTCCACAGATGAGTCTGAGATGGGGGGTGGCCAGAATCTGTTCTGACTCCAGGAGGCCGAGATATAGGAAGATGTCCAGAGGCAGGCAACATGGTCCCCCTGGCAGAATTGGAGGTCCCAGGGCCCTGCGCCTTCTTGTCCATGGCCTGGCTTTGGCTGGCAGAGGGAGGACTGGTCTCTGGAAAACGAACCAAGACAAGAAAGAGGAAGTGGGAGATTTGATACAGGTTGAGTTGAAGCTCTCCAGAGCTGCCCTGCGGTATATGTAGGTTTTAGTCCTGCTTGGTGATGCGAGAGGTGTCGAATTGCGCTCGGCTGTCTCGGGGTCACCTTGGCCTGGCTTTTGCATAAACACATCTGTTGGAGGAGTATGGTCTGCAGGCTGGAGAACTTGATTTTGAACCCTGGCCTTAGGCTAGACTCTGATCCCAGGTTTTCTAGAGTATAAAATTGGGACAGGAATAACAGCAGCCTCACAGGCTGACTGCCAGGGTCAAATGTGATGATGAAAGGGAAGGGGCCGTGGGAATTGTTTGCAATCAGATCTACTTTCCAGTCCTTCATTGTTTCCTTCCCCTCCCCTAACTCCAAGTTAGGGACAATGACTGCTCCTTACCAAACCCAGTCCCTCTTCTGGGACACGGAAATGGCTTTGGTTCCCTTGTGGATAAATGTGGCCTGTGCTGGAGTTTCAGGCTGTGATGGGACCACATTCACATGGGTCCTCTGGGCTCTTCCCCTTGCATTAGCTTGATGCATGCTGAGCCCCAAGATGGAAGAAGCCAGGGTCCCCATATCAGCACTCATGGCTGTCGGGTGAAAACACCCAACTTGGACTTTGTGTTGAGTGAGAAGTGAACTTTTATTATTTTATTTTATTTCATTTTTGAGAAGGAGTCTCTGTTGCCCAGACTGGAGTGCAGTGGCGCAGTCTCGGCTCATTGCAACCTTCGACTCCCTAATTCTTCTGCCTCAACTTCCTGAGTAGCTGGGATTACAGGCATGCACCACCACACCCAGCTAATTTTTGGATTTTTAGTAGAGAAGGGTTTTCACCATGTCGGCCAGGGCGATCTCCTAACCTCGTGATCCACCTACCTTGGCCTCCCAAAGTACTGGAATTACAGGTGTGAGCCACTGTGCCCGGCCAAGAAGTGAACTTTTATTGTGTCTGAGCCACTAGCCATTTTCTGCCTCTTTATCGCAGTAGCTCGTATCATTTTATTATAGCTAATAGTTAAAAATAATAAAAATAAATAAAATTTCAGTTACTAAGAAATTGGAATGCTTGTATAAAAAAAATGTTCAGGGCTGGGCACGGTGGCTCACGCCTGTAATCCCATCACTTTGGAAAGCTGATGAGGGCAGATCACAAGGTCAGGAGTTTGAGACAAGCTTGGCCAATATGCTGATACCTTGTCTCTACTAAAAATTCAAAAATTAGCCGAGCTTGGTGGTGGGTGCCTGTAGTCTCAGCTGCTGGGGAGGCTGAGGCAGAAGAATCGCTTGAGCCTGGGAGGCGAGGTTGCAATGAGCTGAGACTGCACCACTGCATTCCAGCCTGGATGACAGAGTGACTCCAATCTCAAAAAAAAAAAAAAGTTCAGGCTGAGTGCAGTGGCTCATGCCTATAATCCCAGCACTTTGGGAGGCTGTTTGAGGCAGATCATTTGAGGTCAGGAATTTGAGACCGGCCTGGCCAACATGGTGAAATCCCATCTCTACTAAAAGTCCAAAAATTGGCCGGGCGCGGTGGCTCAAGCTTGTAATCCCAGCACTTTGGGAGGCCGAGGCGGATGGATCACGAGGTCAAGAGATCGAGACCATCCTGGTCAACATGGATGTTCTCTACTAAAAATACAAAAAATTAGCTGGGCATGGTGGCACGTGCCTGTAATCCCAGCTACTCAGGAGGCTGAGGCAGGAGAATTCCCTGAACCCAGGAGGCGGAGGTTGCGGTGAGCCGAGATCGTGCCATTGCACTCCAGCCTGGGTAACAAGAGCGAAACTCTGTCTCAAAAAAGAAAAAAAAAAAAAAAAGTCCAAAAATTAGCCAGGCATGGTGGCAGGTGCCTGTAATCCCAGCTATTTGGAAGGCTGAACAGAATTGCTTGAATCTGGAAGGTGGAGGTTGCAGTGAGCCGAGATCTCACCAGTGCACTCCAGCCTGGACAACACAGTGAGACTCCGTCTCAAAAACAAAAACAAAAACTTCAAATTTTTAAACTGTCAGTCATTTCTTATGCATCTCATTCACTTCTCACATCCAAGTGTAAAATGTCTGCATGCTGACACTGTTTAAAACAGAGGTGATCTTTGGAAAATGGGATCACCTCAGAGATGGTCTCTTTCAACTTGACCTTTCCTCACTGCAGTGACAGTTTGAGGTGGCCTATGGTCACTTCCCCTTGAAGCCCAGGACACTTTCACTTGATCTTAGCCAAAAGGCCAAGGAGCAATAGCCCCAGGACACGTTTTTGGGAACTTTTTATGGACTTTTCTCAATCTTTCATCCTAGATATTCCAGTGCTTCTCTTTTCAGAGAATATAAACTATAGCACTCATTGCTTAAGGACATGGATACATTCTGAGAAATGTGTCAGTAGGTGATTTTGTCATTGTGTGACCATCATCGAATGTACTTACTCAAACCTAGATGGCACGGTCTCCTATACACTGAGGCTATATGATTTAGCCTATTGCTCCTAGGCTATAAACCTGCACAAAACATACTGTACTGAATACTATAGGCAGTTGGAACATAATGGTAAACGTTTGTGTATCTAAACATAGAAAAGGTACAGTATATGAAAGATGACAAATGGTAAACCTATCTAGGGCACTGACCATGAATGGAGCTTGCAGGACTGGAAGTTGCTCCGGGTGAGTCACTGGGTGAGTGATGAGTGAATGTGAAAGCCTAGGACACTACTGTCACTACCGTAGACTTTATAAACATTGTGCACTTAGGCTACACTCAATTTATAACAACTTTTTCTAGGCCAGGTGTGGTGGCTCACGCCTGTAATCCCAGCACTTTGGGAGGCCTAGGTGGGTGGATCATGAGGTTAGGAGTTTGAGACTAGCCTGGCCAACATGGTGAAACCCCGTCACTACTAAAAATACAAAAAATTAGCCAGGTGTGGTGGCATGTGCTTATAATCCCAGCTACTTGGGAGGCTGAGGCAAGAGAATCTCTTGAACCCAGGAGGCGGAAGTTGCAGCGAGCTGAGACCATGCCACTGTACTCCAGCCTGGTGACAGAGTGAGAATATATACTCTTTCTTCAATAAGCAATAAACCTTAGCTTACTGTAACTTTTTTACTTTATAACCTTTTTTGTTTTTCCCGAGATGGAGCCTCACTCTGTCACCCAGGCTAGAGTGCAGTGGTGCTATCTCGGCTCACTGAAACCTCTGCCTCCTGGGTTCAAGCGATCATCCTGCCTCAGCCTCCCGAGAAGCTGAGACTACAGGTGCGTGTCACCACATCCAGCTAAGTTTTTTGCATTGTTAGAAATAACAGGTTTCACCGTGTTAACCAGGATGGTCTCGACCTCCTTCATGATTTGCCTGCCTCGGCCTCCCAAACTGCTGGGATTACAGGCGTGAGCCACAGCACCCCGCCTACTTTATAAACTTCAAAATTTAAAAAAAATTTTGTCTCTTTTATAATAACAGTTAACTTAAAACAGGAATACATTGACCACCTGTACAACAATATTTTTTCCTTATATCCTTATTTGATAAGCTTTTTCTATTTTTAAATTATTTTGAGACAGAGTCTCACTCTGTTGCCCAGGCTTGAGTGCAGTGGTGCAATCTCGGCTCACCACAACCTCTGCCTTCAGGGTTTTAGCAATTCTCCTGCCTTAGCCTCCTAAGTAGCTGGGATTACAGGCATGTGCCACCATGCCCAGCTAATTTTTATATTTTTAGTAGAGATGAGGTTTCACTATGTTGGTCAGGCTGTCTCAAACTCCTGACCTCATGATCCGCCCACCTAGGCCTCCAAAAATTCTGGTATTACAGGCATGAGCCATTGCGCCTGGCCAAATAAAGAATTTTTTTTTCTTTTTCCTTTTTAAATGTTTCTTGTTAAAAACTAAGACACAACACACACATTAGCCTTAGGTCTACAAAGGGTTGGGACCCTCATTATCATGGTTTTCCACCTCCACATCTTGTCCCACTGGAAAGTCTTCAGGGGCAATAGCAGACATGGAGCTGTCATCTCCTATGACAGCAGTGTCTTCTTCCGGAATACCTCCTGAAGGATCTGCCTGAGGCTGTTCTACAGTTAACTCTTTTTTATGTAAGTAGAAGGAATCCACTCTAAAATACTAATAAAAAGTATAGTATAGTAAACATATAAGCCAGTAACAGTATCATCGTCAAGTATTCTGTATCATACATAATTTTATGTTCTAGACTTTTCTAAAACTGGCAGCTCAGTAGGCTTACTTAGACCAGCTCACCACAGACATGAGTAACGTGTTTTGCTATGCTGTTGACAGCTACATCACTTGGCAATAGGAATTTTTCAGTTCCATTATGATCTTATGTGACCACCGTTTTATATGCAGTCCATGATTGATCCAAATGGTATTAAGGGGTGCATGATAGCACTGCTGCCAGCTGGTATTCATTGGCTCATTCTCTGTGCCAGGAATTCTGGTAGGCACTTCACCTGCATGATTTCATCTCAGCTTCACCATCCCATGAAGCAGCTGCTATGATTGACCCCAATATTCACCTGTCCAATTTCATAAGCTAATCATTGTTAGGATTCTGATTTCAATCCCAGAACAGTCTAATTTCACACTGTTTCAAAGGCTCTTTACACCTTTCCATGTGGCCTTGTAAAACATAATCATCATGACAAAGCGCTTACCTTCCTTGGTGAGTTGGAGCTGGGTGGCATTTTTAGAGCCGCTTTTCAGTGTGTCCCCTGAATCTCTGGCTGTGGCTTTGCCTTTGACAGACTTGTGGCTCTTCTCAACTTCACGGAGCTGCATGAAATAATGAACTGTTGGTCCTGGCCAAGGAAATGGGTGTCTGAGGCTCAGAGGTGCTGAGTGAATTTTTTTTTTTTTCGAGATGGAGTCTCACTTTGTTTCCCAGGCTGGAGTATAATGGCATGATCTTGGCTCACTGCAACCTCTGCCTCCTGGGTTCAAGTGATTCTCCTGCCTGCAGCCTCTCAAGTAGCTGGGATTACAGGCGCTCACTACCACACCTGGCTAATTTTTGTATTTTTGGTAGAGACAGGGTTTCACCATGTTGGCCTGGCTGGTCTTGAACTCCTGACTTCAGGTGATCCACTGGCCTTGGCCTCCCAAAGTTCCGGAATTACAGGTATGAGCCACTGCACCCAGCCTGTTTTCAGTTCTTGGTGACTACCTTAAACTGCCTGTTACTGGTCCTCACAACTGATTGAGAGGGCAGCCTGAGGCTCTCAGATTCACACAGTGATTGAAGAAACCTGTAGCCAGAGGACAACAACCCTTTCAATCCTCTATTTCAATGGTTTTCTATACCTGGGCAGGAGCCCAGGGAGATTAACAGAAGAAGGTGTGGATGGCGGGGACCAGCGGCAAGACAGATGAGATTCATTCCAGAAGAGGTACAGAGAAAGCAAGAACAGGGGTTAGGGAGGGTTAGCGTCTGACCTTTAGGGTGTGCGTGTGTGTGTGCGTGCGTGTGTGTGTGTGTGTGTGTGTGTGTAGAGAGCAATCAGAAGTAGGGTGTCAGCTGGGATGTTGAGATATGCTTCTCATGTGTGAAGGGAATTCAGGAGCTCTTTTTGGCTAAGGGGCACAAGAAATATGTCATTTTGACAATAATATTGCCTTTAGTATTTAAATATTCACTTTAATCTTTAGGAATTATTGTGGGTACTGGCTTTTTCTGTATGAGCATTGGTTGAACTCACTGAATTTCTTCTGTTCTTTAGCAACCCCTTGAAATTTAAGTTATATTGTAACACATCACCAAATAGCCTCAATAATATAAATGCATGCTACTGAATCTCACAAGTCCACTTTCTATAATACAGATATTTGGGATTTGGTTTAGAAGAAAGTCATTTAGATAACACAGCTGGGAGCACAGAGCAAATTAGCAAAAACCAAAAACATGATCTCTTTTTACCCTCCAGGATGAAACTCCCAACAGACTCACCGCTTGGATTTTCTTCCTCAGCTGGGCATTAGCTTGGGAAAGGCTTTTGGAAACTGAGTTCAGGTAGTAAATGGCCAGGCTGCAAGAGAAAAACATGCCTCCTATGGTTCTGTGATCTTGGCAGATGACTGGAGCTGGGTGCTTTTCTTGGGGAATCAAGGCAGGATTCCTGGAATCAAAGCAGAATTCCTGGAATTCCAGGTCTGCCTCTGGGTGGGGGGTGGGTGTCCTACAGTCTTATGCTCTCTTCTCAGTGAGCTGGGATTACAGGCGTGAGCCACTGCACCTGGGGCAAAAGTATATTTTATCACCAAATATAAATTGACTTTTTCCCCCGGGAGGTACTAATTAATCCTACAGAGAAAAAATATATCTAAGAATTAAATAAAATATAACATTTTCATTGTTTACAAATGAGAAAATGACCTGGAAGATTCAAGAACTTTGGTTGAATAAATATTATAAACAACACACTCATAGGGTGGCTGTGTTAGTTAGCCTGTTTCCATACTGCTATAAAGAACTACCCAAGACTGGGTAATTTAAAAAGGAAAGAAATTTAATTCACTCACAGTTCATCGTGGCTGGGCAGGCCTCAGGAAACTAACAATCATGGTGGAAGGTGAAAGGAGAAGCAAAGTATTTTCTTTACAAAGTGGCAGGAAGGAAAAGTGTTGAGTAAAGTGGGAAGAGCCCCTTATGAAACCATCAGATCTTGTGAGAACTCACTATGATAGGAGCATCACGGGAGAAACTGCCTCCATGATCCAATTACCTCCACCTGGTCCCTTCCTTGAAATGTGGGGATTATGGGAATTACAAGTCAAGATGAAATTTGGGTGGGAACACAAAACCTAAATATATCGGTGGCTGAATTTTAAAAAAAAATTTTTTTTTTTCTCTGTCACCCAGGCTGGAGTGCAGTGGCAAGATCTTGACTCACTGCAACCTCTGCACCCCGGGTTCAAGCGATTCTCCTGCCCCAGCCTCCCAAGTAGCTGGGACTACAGGTGTGTGCCACCACGCCTAGCTAATTTTTTTTTTTTTTTTTTTTTTGGTAGAGATGGGTTTCACCGTGTTAGCCAGGATGGTCTTGATCTCCTGACCTTGTGATCTGCCTGCCTTGGCCTCCCAAAGTGCTGGGATTACAGGTGTGAGCCACTGCACCTGGCTAAATACAATATATATATATAGAAAATAAATAACATTTATATATATATATCAAAACTAGTTTAGAAAGTATAATGAAAGAGCCATTCTAATTTAGTATAAAACAAAAAGATGAAATGCAGAGGAATTTAATAAGAAATGTGCATAAAATTTATGAAGAAAACTTAAAAATATTATTGAAGGACATAAATGAACAAATGATAATAAAGTATTCCTGGATTGGAAAACTTAACATGGTAAGTGTGCCAATTCTTTCTGAATTTTTTTTTTTTTCTTTTTTGAGACAGAGTCTCACTCTTGCTCAGGCTGGAGTGCAGTGGCATGATCTCGGCTCACTGCAACCTCTGCCTTCTGGGGTTGCTGTGGTCAGGGACTGATAGGGGACACTATGACTGTGGCCATTAGGCAAAAGCATTAATACCTGTCGAACATCGACTGGTGGCAATCAGCAGAGACAACCTGTTGAATGCCGAAACCAAGCCCTCTGTCACACCCGAGTAAGGGTTGCTGGAGGGCATCTGAAATCTCTGCAGTAGCTCCAGCGCTTGGGGAAGCACCCACTACTCAGCAGACCTTGGAAGAGAACATCTCCTGTCCTTGGGTGAGCTGGAAAACACGCCACTCCCCCGGGCTCTTGTGGAAAGACTGATATCAATCAGCCCAACCTGCAGCTACCCAGGGGGGTTAATTTTCTCTATGTGGTGCTGTGCTGTACTGGCCACAGTCTGTGTCTGCTTTCACTCCCTACTTCTGTACCTGGTTCCTCTTCTCAAGATAATAAGAAGCATAAATCTTGAAGCCCTTGTTCTTACTTGGCAAGCATAACATCAAGTGCTGATGCATCTCGCTGCCCCCTTGTGTGGCTACTTGAAAGCCCTGGGCCCCTTGTTCCTTATACATGTGATCTGTTTGAAGATTCACCCTACTTGCCCTGCTCCCCTGTTTTGTACCTAATAAAAGTCAGAGTGTACAGGCATTCGGGGCCACTACCGGACTCCACGTACTAGGTGGCAGTGGACCCCTGGGACCAAATTTGTTTTTTCCTCTTTATCTCAGTGTCTTGTGTCTTTATTTGTAAAGTATCTAGTTTCTGCACCCATAGAGAACACCCACTAGAACCAGCAGGGCTGGACCCTATAGACTTGAGGGACAGAATCCCAGAGAAGAACAAATTGCAGATAAATAAGCCAAACTCTGCATACAAATTACCCTCAAATGATTGACCAGTTCTTCAATTGCTTCAGGAAGCCCAGAAGAAAATGACACCAGGGAGGCTGAAGAGCAGAGGAGAGATTTCACAGTGGCTGTCGCAGTACTACTGGAGAAAGAGAGTGAGCAAAAACTACAGAATTGGGAAAAGAGAGAATGAGCTTTAAGCCCTGCCAAGGTGGAGGGAATTGGTAAACACCGTAGCCTTTCAGTTGAGATCCCTAAAAGACTGTGCTCAATAGTAAGGATCACGTTGTAGGAGTAAGGTCAGTGTCTTGGAAATAGGGCAAAACTGAAATGAATCAGCCCTGAGAAAGCCCAAATCTAGCAATCGCAAACTGTTTTCTAAAGATGGCCATAATAATATGACTCCCATCTTACATGTGCTTCCAGAATCTTGCCATTGCCTCATCAAGAGATGAGTCTATATTTCTTTCTCTAGAACCTGGGTATCCCTTTGTGATTGCCTCAATAGAGTACGGCGGGAGTAAGTAAAGATGCCATGCATATGCACTGCATTCTCTTGGGATGCTTGCTCCTGAAACTCAGCCACCATACTATGAGGAAGCCCAATCATCAGCTTGTGGGAAGGAACTGAGGCCTCTAGTCCATAGCACTTGTTGAGTTCCCAGCTGACAGCCAGTGCCAACTGGCCAGTCATGTGAGTAACCATCTTTTTTTTTTTTTTTTTTTTGAGATGTAGTCTTGCTCTGTCACTAGGCTGGAGTGCAGTGGCGCAATTTTGGCTCACTGCAACCTCCGCCTCCCGGATTCAAGCAATGCCTCAGCCTCTTGAGTAGCTGGGACTACAGGTTGTCCCACCGTGCCCAGCTAATTTTTATATTTGTAGTAGAGACAGGGTTTCACCATGTTGACCAGGATGGTCTCGATCTCTCGACCTCGTGATCTGCTGGCTTCAGCCTCCCAAAGTGTTGGGATTACAGGCGTGAGCCACCACGCCTGGCTGTGAATGACCATCTTGAAAGTGGAGCTTTCAAAAAAAAAAAAAAAGTGGACCCTCCAGCCTCCAGCTGAGCTGACTCAGATGAAGTTGAGTAGGGAGCAAAAGAATGATTCCTACTAAGCCGTACCTAAATTGCAGATTCATTAATAAAATATTGTTTTTCAGTTTTTGGGGTTGTTTCTTATGTAATAATAGATAGCTAAAACATCAAGACTTGACAGGATTAAGTGATCTAGTATTCCATTTGCCTTTCAGGAAAAAAAAAAAAAACATCCCTTTGAGGAAAGATAACATTCTATGTCTGGAATCTAGTTAAAATTACATGCCACGCTAAAATTAGGGCTGATGATAAACAAGAGAAAAGCAAATGACAACAAAAATACACCTAAGTGGTCCAGATAATAGAATATCAGCCTGGCATTTAAAAAATAATGATAATCACTATGTTCAATAAAATAGAAAGTTGGAGAATTTCACCAGAGAGTTGGAAGTTATAAATAATAGTCAAAGGGAAATACAACCACTTTGGAGAGCAATTCTGTAAGATCTAAAAAGACTGAAGAAACACATGCCTGTAACCCACAATTCTGCCTCTAGATTGTGCAAGGAGATATATACAAAATGTTGGCTGGAGCGCAGTTTGCAACAGGCCCAAAGTGGAAACAGCCTAACTATCCCTATGCAGAGAAAGGATAAACTGTGGCTTATCATGCAATGGAAAATAGTAGAGCCTTCAAACGTGTACTCATGTATCCACATGGATAAATCCCCTCAATATGATGTTGATTGAGGAAAAGCATATAATGTGAACCATTCATGAAAAGGTTGAAAAGTCTTTAAATAGAAGTATATACACATGTGATGAAAAGTACAAAATATTCACGGAAATAATGAAATCTAGTCTGAGTAATAGTTACCTTTGGGGAGGGAAGAAGAAAGAAGGATTGGATGGGTCTCAAAGTGTATCTGTAATGTTTTATTTCTGTTACAAAGAAAGATAAACCTGAAGTAAATATTGCCAAATGTTAACATCTGTTTATTCTTGTGATAGTGTACATGGTTGTCTCTACTCATTTGTATGCTGGGAATATTTCATAATTTTTAAAAAGGCATGCCAAAGTGTTTTTTTATAAAGAAAAATGCGAACATTTTTACTAGCACATGTTTCGATGGCAGCAATTCCAATCCAAGACTCTGGCTTCCTGCTTTTCTTCCCTGGTTCCTTCCTTGAGCATTTACTGTCTGCCAGCTATGCTCTAGACATTAGGCTGGCGTGGGGGATACAGAGATTTTCAGACTCGTTTTCTATCCTCAGGACTTTAACAGTTGTTGAGGGCGACGGTGATGAAGGAACCAGCTTGTTCCAGTGCATAAACTACTCAATCGAGTAGTGCTGTGGGCCCAGCCAGGGTCAGGCCGAATCATCGTTCGGCTTCCTGAGAGGCTCAGAGCCCACAGTTCTCTGACATTTCTAGTGAGCATTTTAGCGGGAGTAGTTGGAGATACTGTCAGGGCTCGCCCCAATTTTCAGTGTGCTCCAAAAGACTTGCACTTGCTGGTGCCTTCATCTCTGTTACCAGAAGCTTCCCCTTCATCTTGGACCCTCCACTGACACCCCCGAAGCCATTTTACCCAGGAGTGCTGCTGGCAGCTGGTCTACAAATGCCCCGAATCCTCCACACTTAGGGAGGGATAACTCTGAGGCGCACTGCCTTCCAGAATGCCCACAGTGATAACCATGCACTTTCCTTCCCTTCCCTGTCTGAAGTTCTACCCCTCCCCAATACAATACGTGCACTTAAATCCTCATCATATGTCTGCTTCTGGGGAGTGCAGACTAAGAAGGCAAGATGAAAAGGACTTGCCAAGGAAGTCTTGAATTCAAGGAGAGGTTTCCGTGGGGTGGAGCCGTGGGTCCTGGCTAACTTACAACATCAGCAGGATGGCTGGGATGATCAGGCCTGGATTGGCGAGGAAAGCAAAGATCTTGCCCAGGAAGGTTGGGAAATCGTTTTCAATGGTCTCCTGGAGGACATCATACATTCTGTTTTTCCCACTGGAAAATGAAGAGGACACATCATAACCACGTGCTGCTGAGTGCCTGTGGCATTCACAACTGTGTCCACACCCCCTCAGGTCCAGGGCTGCTGCTCCCACTGCTTTCCTGGAAGAACCAGAGCTCTGCTACTAATGAGCTGCGAGTAAAAAATTCCCCTGAAGGGACTGCCATTCTGGCAAGGGTTGATAGTTGTGTCGGCACACTGGCTCAAGAGCTTTCTATCCTAAGTAACTTATAACCTCTCAGCCTTCACTGGTCTTTTGTGTCTGACACCTTCCTCAGCCAGAAAAAAATGGGTTTTCTCATATATTCTAATGGGAGAAATTGCCTGTGTTTGTAGCTACCAGACCAACATGGAGCTTCCTTTGGGTCTGGAAACAGTTCTGCAGAGGCTGATGTGCTGGACAACCTGAGTGTCTCTCAGAAACGCCTACAATTAACCTTCAGATTGTTAAGTCTAGGAGATATTGGATTACCTAGGACAGACTCCTGGACAGTTCGCAACTGTAATTTTTATTTTCTTTAAATACTTATGAAGCATAAGTCAGATTTACTTCTACAAACGCTGGCCCAGAGACTCCTGGATGCTGCTGGCTCTTGGCTGGTAATTTTGGTGCCAAGAAGTGGACTGTGGGGTTTGAAATTCCTGGTTTAAATCCTTGCTCTCCCATTGATCACTTGTGAGACACGTAGATAATCATTCTCTCTCTTTCTTTTTGAGACAGAGTCTCACTTTGTCACCCAGGCTGGAGTGCAGTGGTGCAATTTCAGCTCACTGCAACCTCCACCCCAGGGTTCAAGCAATTCTCCTGCCTCAGCCTCCCCAGTAACTGGGATTACAGGTACGCACCACCATGCCTGGCTAATTTTTTGTGTTTTTTTTCTGTAGAGATGGGGTTAAATGATCTGCCCACCTCGGCCTCCCAAAGTGTTGGGATTACAGGCGTGAGCCACTGTGCCTGGCCTGTCACCTATTTTCATATGGGTTGTGAGCTAAGAATCATTTTTACATTTTTAAGTAGCTGAAAACAAATCAAAACAGGAATACTATTTTATGACATGTAAAAATTGAAGTATAAAATTAAAATTTTAGTGTCTGTAAATAAAGTTTTCAGCTCATTCATTTGTTGTGCTATAATGACAGAAGAGCAGTTGTGTCAGAGAACATTTGCGGCTCTCTCATGCCTTACAACTGTTGCCCAGCACACCACAAATTGCAATGATCCTCTTATAACATGACAGGATTTCAAGTACCGGGCATATTGCTGTATAATGGTGTTTAATATATTATCATTATTATTACCAGGGCATACTCACCATGTAAGAGCAAGAAAAGTGAATTTTACATGTTAGGTTTTTATGTGACAGTCGAGTGTAGATTATTTTGTCGTTGATTAGATGGTGTATCAGATTCCAGTACCTGCTGTTTGTCACACTTGTAGCTTAAAACAATACAAATTTAGTATCTTACAGTTCTGGAGACCAGGAGTCTGAAAGGGTTTCACTGGGCTGAAACCAACCTGGGGCAGGCATAGGATGACAGTTATACACATTGCAATACCAAAAAGGAGAAAATGGAAGGAAGAAAGGAATCACCAATCTCAGGCAATTTTGAAATCCAGTCAGCCAAGCTCCATTAGGATTTTTTTTTTTTTTTTTTGAGTCAGAATCTTGCTCTGCTGCCCAGTCTGGAGTGCAATGGCGTGATCTCGGCTCACTGCAACCTCTCCCTCCTGAGTTCAAGTGATTATCCTGTCTCAGCCTGAGCAGCTGGAATTACAGGCACCTGCCACCACACTAGGCTAATTTTGGTATTTTTAGTAAAGATGGGGTTTCTCCATGTTGGCCAGGCTGGTCTTGTTGAACTCCTGACCTCAGGTGATCTGCCCTCCTTGGCCTCCCAAAGTGTTGGGATTACAGGTGTGAGCCACTGCATCTGGCCTCCATTAGGTTTTGAATTCCTAAGAATAAACCCAGGGCCCAGCCCTCCAAACCTTGTTTAGGAGGAAGCCAAGAGAGGCCTCTTCCATGCGGTTCTCCCTTCAGCCTGGCATCTCAGGCCGTCTGCACTTCCACACGCTCCTTCTCTAGACTGATCCCCTCCTTCCGTGTGAACCCTGTTTGCCAGGTGGAGCTGCTGGAGCGCTCCTGCTAACATCGCTGGGCTCCGACTATCACAGGCCTCTATCTAGGTAAGTCCCTTAGAAACTGAGAAGGACCAGATCAGCATTTCTCAAAGTGCGCTTGTGGGGGACATGAGTGACTTGACTTTACATGCTAATCTGCCTGGTAAGTTCTAACAAACCCCGAGTCCGGGAGTGCCTCCCAAACGTCTGGTGGATGTATTTCTCTTTATGTAGGAACCCTTGTTTACTGTAAGTTTCCTCCAAAACGACTCTTGGTTCTGCTGCATAAATCACAGGCCGTGATGTCCAGAGCCACCTACACATTCCTTCCAGAGCACGCATACTTTCCCCAAGACATAAGCCCCGGGTCTGGGGGATTGAGGTGTGGAGATCTACCTGCCTCATGCTGCTTGCCACCATGCTTCTGGCTGTAAGTTACCCCTAATAAATCACCCAGACCCGACAAACTGCATGTGTCTCCTTCCTTCTTTGGGTTCTCGGCTCTTTGGGCATTTGGGGGCTGCTTTGCATATACGACCCTTTTACCGAACAGTGTTTCTCCTCACTGGTAGGCAAGGTTGGGACTAGAGTGAGGCAGGTGAGGCCTTGGATGCACAATTGAAGAAAGGAATGCCCTCAGAGTTGCTCGTGTGTGGTGTAGGGTGCCACTTGCCTGCCACACCCTATTTCTAGTTCTGTCTGAGTGATCCATGCAGAAAGGGTTCTGTGGTCAATAAGGATGGAGACACTAGCTTACAGGTGTTACCTCATTGCCTCTGACTCTTCAGAGCCTTTAACAAGGGAGCACGCATCAGGCATTTCTAAGTGAGATAATGGCAGATAGAGGGGGCAGTATGTCCCAAACTGCTTTAAACACAGAACCTCTCTCCTTACGGAGTCAGCAGAGGGCTTTGTTTTCAGAAGGTCATGCATTTGGAAAGAGAACAGTAGATGCACATTATCTCTTGATCTATCTCCTTACGTAACTATTTGTCCTTTTATATAATATCCAGTCTCCTAACTAGCTTGACTTATATCGAACCCCCAGGCCAATGCTCTAGAGAGCAGAGAGCGCTCAGTTGAGGTCTATCAAGAGTCCTCTGCAGCTGCTTCACATTTAAATGGCACATGTAAGTTTATGATAATTCATCTTCAGAATATCCACCATTACTTGTCCTATGGTAAAGTAATCCCAGGTAGTAAGTTATCCATGTGTTAAAGCAGGCGTCCCCAAACTTTTTACACAGGGGGCCAGTTCACTGTCCCTCAGACCGTTGGAGGGCCGCCGCATACTGTGCTCCTCTCACTGACCACCAATGAAAGAGGTGCCCCTTCCTGAAGTGCAGCGGGGGGCCAGATAAATGGCCTCAGGGGGCCGCATGCGGCCCGCGGGCCCGTAGTTTGGGGACGCCTGTGTTAAAGGGTAGAACTGTGCTGTCCAATGTGGTAGCCATTAGCCATGTGTGGTTATTTTAACTGAAGTTGAGAATGAAATCCTGTCATTTGCAGCACCATGGATGGAACAGGAAGTCATTATGTTAAGTGAAATAAGCCAGGCACAGAAAGAAAAACATTGCATGTTCTTACCCACATGTGGGAGCTAAAAAACTGGATCTCACAGAGGTAGAGAGTAGAATGAGGTGACCAGAGGTTGGGAAGGATAGAGAGGAGCGGGGAGGAAGTGCAGCTGGTTAACTGGTACAAATATACAGTTAGATAGAGGGAATAAGTCCCATAGCACAGCAGGGAGATGACAGCTCACAATAATGTATTGTATAATTTCAAACCAAGAAAAGACAAATGTTTAGGCCAGGCATGGTGGCTCACGCCAGTAATCCTAACACTTTGGGAGGCTGAGACGAGTGAATTGTTTGAGGCCAGGAGTTCGAGACCAGCCTGGGCAACATGGCGAAACCCTGTCTCTACTAAAAATACAAAAAATTAGTTGGGCGTCGTGTGCGTGCCTGTAGTCATGGTTACTCGGCAGGGGGAGGCATAAGAATTGCTTGAACCTGAGAGGCAGAGGTTGCAGTTAGCTGAGATGGCACCACTGTACTCCAGCCTGGGCGACAGAGAGAGACTCTGTCTAAAATAAATAAATAAATGTTTGATGTGATCAATATCCCAGTTACCCTGATTTGATCATTATGCATTGTATACGTGGATCCAAATATCACATGTACTCCCCAAATACGTACAACTATCCATTAAGCATTATTAAATAAATTAGGAAAATAAATACATGAGAAATTCATTTTCTCAGTTCCTCATTTCAAGTACTCAACAGCCACTGGTGGCTGGTGGCTACTGAATCGGACAGCACAGACACAGAACAACAGAACATTTCCATCCTGGCAGAAAACGCTCTTGAACAGCATCAGTGAATCACCCAAAGCTCCATGGCCCTTTACAGGCTGGCGTGAAACCAGAACTGGAATTCTGGGCCAAGCACTCTGAGCAGACTGCCTCGGGAGGGGAGGTGATCCTGGGCAACAGAGACTCTGCACCTGAATGGCCCGCAGTCAAAGGAGGGTGGGAGGGACATGATGGTGTAGGCCACCGGCAGGAGGCTGAGGAAGAGCACCAGCAGCAGGAGGCCCATGTAGAAGTTGTTGGATCGGGAGGCTTTGAACACACGTTCATGGGGTACGTTGCTGCTCATCACCGCCCAGCACTGGAAGTACATGGAGGTCAGCAGGCGCAGCACGTTAATGCCCACCAGGCCCGGAGCATAGAAAGAGCCCATCCTGGAAGGGAATAAACCGAACACCTGGTTGGCTGGACAGCAGGGAAGGTGAGGGAAGGGTGATAGAAGGAAATGGGATAGATGGGTTAGGGGCATGAGGCAGAGCTGCTTTCCTGGCAACTCCCCAGGTAAGGGGCTTCCCATTTAACCAGAAGACTGATCGCCAAGCCAGAACCATGTAGTCCTCAGGAGTGGGAGGCACTCCGAGCACTCCTGGCTTAAGCTCTGGCTAGGATTTGACCACTGCCTCGTCCTCAGGTACCCAGCAAATTATACCATCTCCTGCTATTTCTCCTTGGTTTCCGTAAATCGGCGTTGCTGTTCAGAAGAGCATCTGAAGTCCTTCAATCAAGAGAATTGAGCAGTGGCTTGCAGCGAGCCCTTGGCACCTTAAAGGCCGTTGGCTGAAGTTATGTGGCCTCCTTGAACTCGATTTTCAGAGGAGGGAGTTCCGTACTTCCTTTACCTTCCACCTTCTCTTCCTTCTTTTTTCCCCTCTCTCCTTATTTCCTTTCCTCCTCTTTTCCTCCTCCCTTCTTGACTCCTCCCTTTTCCCTTTCCTTTGTCTTTCTTCCTTCTTCCCCTTTTCATCTCTCTTCCCCACCTTCTCTCCTGCCTTCCTTTTCCTTTTCTCCCCCAACCCCCCCTCTCCCTTTCTCACCACTTCTGATAGCACATGGGTGGGCCAGAAACGACCCTGCTTCTCATCTAGCCCTGCTGTCAATTTTTCACGTGAAAGAGGGGAGTGTAGAGAGGCAACATGACGTATCCAGCTTCTTCCAACTAGTGAAGCTGCAAAATCTGGAATCCCAGTTTTTAAATTCCTCGGATGAGGCGATCCCCAGAAAACGGATCACTCACCAGATCATTCCTTGGTTGAAGATCAAACCCAGCACATTTCCACTAATATCAAACTCAGCATATGAAGGCTAGAGAGGGAGGGAGGGAGAGAGAGAGAAAGCACGTTTGGTGAAGTCAGCCAAACCCTACTACCAACCAACTGGCCAAGCCAAGGCCACTCCATCCCAAAGAGCCTGCTCTGGTAACTAGAGAAGGACCTTAGATTTAGCATTCTATTTCTTTAATATGTTTTCAACTTTTAAAGAAAAAATTTGACGTTCTCAAAGCTGAAACTTTTAAATGTCAGAACTGGAATTCTGGACAAAAAAAGTGAGAGTTTTTGTCTTTCAAGATTTGCAGGCTGACAGTGTGTTCTTGGGAAGACCCTTGCCTCTAAGAGAACATTTGATCAATGCTTTAATTGGAAACATACCTTGAAATTATAATAAATGATAAATCTAATAAATAATGCAATGCAAATAATTAAATGAGGAGTCAAAAGAAAAAAAAAAAGCTTAAAAACAAACAAAACCCAAATCATCCTTCCAACTCTTCTTTCTCCTTCTCTTCTTCCTCTAGTCTGAGAGCAGTTCATGGAAAGGAAAGTGCCCAGCTTGGTTCATATTTTCAGCCTGATTTTCAGTTTTTGTGATTTGTCCAATATTTGAAAGAACATAAAATCCGTGAGCACCGAAGATATGGGGGTCCTCATGAAGCATGCTAACGCCCACATTCCAGTTTATCTTCCAGAAATGGAGATAAAGGGAAATGAGAACACAAAAGAGATAAGTAAGAAAAGAGAGAAAAAAAAAAAGGGCCAGCATTAATAGATGGAAGGAGGAGACATCCATGGGGTAAAGACTTGAATATGTATTTATTTATTTATTGAGATGGACTATCGCTCTGTTGCCCAGGCTGGAGTGCAGTGGCATGATCTCAGCTCACTGCAACCTCTGCCTCCTGGTTCAAGCGATTCTCCTGCCTCAGCCTCCCAAGTAGCTAGGATTACAGGCACGCACCATCACGCCCAGCTAATTCTTGTACTTTTAGTAGAGGCAGGGTTTTCACCATCTTGGCCAGGCTGGTCTTGAATTTCTGACCTCAAGTGATCCACCCGCCTCAGCCTCCCAAAGTGCTGGGATTACAGACATGACCCACTGCACCCAGCCTGGAATTTTAAATTTTAATATTTTAAAATGTTTGAAAAACACTTATCTACTGGGTTTCATGTCCTGTTTAGACAGATGTTCCTCACTCCATGATTCTAAGTTCAAACATGCTTTCTTTTAGAAACTTATAGTTTCATTTTTTTGATGTTTAAAACTCTGATTCAACTACAATTAATTTATCTAGGTAAAATGAATAAGGGATATAGTCCCCCACATTTTTATTTTATATATATATATAAAATATATATATATTATATATATATATTATTTATATATATATTATATATATATATATATAATATATATATATATATAAAATCCTTCCCCCCAGCATGTTTGAAAGTCTTCTTTTATCAGAAACTAAAGGCCCATATAGACAGTATCTATTTCTGGACTTTCTATTCTGTTCCATTGACAAGTTGGTCTATTCTCTAGTACTAGTCTTAGTTATTATAGTGCTATCATATGTTTTAGTATTATGGTAAGTCTAGTTCCTTTTATTCTTCTTTTTATTTTTTCTTTATATTTTTTTGAGACAGCGTCTCACTGTATTGCCCAGGATGGAATGCAGTGGTGTGATCAAGGGATCAAGGAATCCTCCTGCCTCAGCCTCCTGAGTAGCTGGAACTATAGGTGTGCACCACCACACTCAGCTAATTTTTTAATTTTTTGTAGAGATGGGGTCTTGCTAAATTGTCCAGGCTGGTCTCAAACTCCTGGACTCAAGCAATTCTCCTGCTTTGGCCTTCCAAAGTGCTAGGATTACAGGTGTGAGCCACCACACCTGGCCTTCTTCTTTTTAAATAATTTTCCTGGATACTCTCACATGCTTATTTTTTAAATGAACTTTAGTATTATTTGAATATCTTGGTGATCTTACAAATTTAAGAACAATGAACTCTTAGCAATATCTTGTGATTCTGTCAAAGATCTCATCCTTTTTGAGCACAAAGGCTTTCATCTTTGTTCTCAAACAAGATTATGAAGCTTTCCTGGCTGCTGAGGATTTCAGCAGACTTGTTTAAAACTGAGACTGGTGACTGAAAGAACAAAAATGTGACAGAAACCTGTACTGGGACCCTTACCTGGGCCAGGCCAGGATGAGGGCTACATAGGTCAGCATCCTATGAAGCCTCTCAACAGGAGCTCAGGTGAGATGTAGGTACCATGCATGCACACCAGTGACTGCAGGCTGAGCCAGTGAGGTGTTGTGGAAGAGACATGTACGGCACAGCTGCCTGAGCCAGAGGTTCTGCCAGATCATAGAAGGCCACTAAAGAGAGGAAATGATACACATCTACCAGGTAGATGGGGAAGAGGGCTGTAAGAGAATACAAGTCAAAGAAGGTTTCTCAAAGCTTCATCCAGAAGACAGGACCAGTGGTTATTGTATTCTTGGTGTGTTCCAGGACTTCCTGAAATATTCGCCTCCACTGTTGGATTTCAGCCCCCCTAATAAGAGCTGAGACTGCTCAGGTGCAATTTCCTATTAATCATTGGCTCAGTACTGAAGTGTGGTCCACTTTCCCCTAGGCCAAATGCCTCCATTTCCTAGAATAGAAGGTCATATTGTTCATTACATTGGGAAGCAGCAGCTTCCCCTATGAAGGCAAATAGGACCCTTAAAGGAAATACAAATTAAACACTTTTTACTCCAAAGAGCAGAGACCATCAGAAAGCCTCCAAAGAAATGAAATGCCCGAGAATGCATCTGGCTATAAGTATCAAAGAGGATGGCTGAAATTCCTCTGTGCACCATGTCCATGGAGTGGTGACCTACAAATCCAGCCTCCAAGTCCCAGCACCAGCAGTAGTTCATGAATCGCACAAAACAAGCACGCAGGAAGTCCCCCAGCAGGATGGTGATGTATGTTACCAGCATGTCAGACACCGTCAGTCTCATGAATTCCTGCAGAGGAACACAGGAAGAGGGGTGGATGGAGACCTTGCCCACCTCTCCCACCCTCCCTGAGAGTATGTTGAGAGTCTCATAAACTCTCCTCCACCCACTTGACTTTGTCTCTGTGACCCTCTGATTCTTTGTGGCAGAATGGTGGTAAAGAGAGGGGACCCCTGGCTCTGGAAAATGTGTAGGTCCCAGCTCTACGGATTACTAATTGTATGACTTTGGAATAATCTCTGAATCTCTTAAAGCTGATATTGATATCAATTTCTAAAGGCTATTGGGAACTTAGTAATTACATATGCAAATTGCCTGTGAGATTGGCTATGCCCAATGTATCATTGTTATCATCACTAGGATCTGAAGGCCTTGCTTCCTCACTTACTGTGAAGTGCCAGCTGCCCCTAGTAAGACTAAATGTGACCACCAGTCACTGGGGACAATGTCTAACTTTTTTCACCTCCTGATAGTTGGGTTTTTTTTTTTTTTTGAGACGAAGTCTTGCTCTGTTGCCCAGGCTGGAATGCAGTGGTATGATCTCGACTCACTGCAACCTCCTCCTCCTGGGTTCAAGCGATTCTCCTGCCTCAGCTTCCTGAGTAGCTGGGACTACAGGCGTGCACCACCATGCCTAATTGTTCGTATTTTTAGTAGAGACAAGGTTTCACCATGTTAGCCAGGATGGTCTCGATCTCCTGACCTCATGATCTGCCTGCCTTGGCCTCCCAAAGTGCTGGGAGTACAGGCGTAAGCCACTGTGCCCAGCCCCTGGATTTTTTAAAAACTATATATATATAGAGAGAAAATAAAACCAGTTTTCACAGAGACATATAGAAGAAGGACCAAAAATGGAAGGACAAAGCTTTCTCTGCATTTGTAGAATATATATAATTTACTATTTTTTTTTGAAAAATTGAAAATATCTACCAGACACCATCACAACCTTTGAGACACTAAAGAGATTTGGAGCACCCAGCGGGCACAGAGTCTGCTTTAGTCATTTTATTTCCTCCAAGATAATAATGAAACGTTTGCTGGATGAACAGCTGGTAAGTTTTCAGGATTATTCCTCAAATGGAAACCTCAAGGAGGGAATAACAAAGAACTGAGAACAGGGGTCACCTTTTCAGAGAGCACAACTACTCACAATGCCCACAGCTGTCTCCCAGCAAGAACCCCGGGGCACATCTGCAGGGTGCAAGGGTGGTCGGGGGACACTCTCGTTCCAACCCGAAGAGTTGTAATAGTTAAACAGAGTCCAGTGAGTGATGTTCTTTATTGTCTCTTCATTAGCAAGCTGGAACAGAAGATGGAGGTGTGGGGTAGGAAGGAGCCAGGGATGGTTCAACTGTTTCCACAAGAACAATGAAAGCTAGCAAATGCCACAACCCTACCATCTAGCTTCCCCTGGACAGAGTCCTTCCAGAAATTCCTGCCTCAGGCTTTCAATATGTTCAGGAGAGGCTGTAGTCCTTGGGTCTTTCCCATGAAGTTATCTTCTAAGTCAGCATCCATCCGTCCATCTGTCCATCCATCCATCTGTCTGTCCATCCATATGTTCATCCATCCATCCATCCATCTATCCATCCATCCATCCATCCATCCATCCGAGCATTCAGCCATCCATTCATGCATCTATCCAGTCATTCATTATTCTCTTGAAAATAATTTATTCAGGGTCTCTTCTGTGCATATAAATAGTGGAGATGCAGGAGTGACCAGGAGAGATGGAGCTTTGCTCAGAAAGATTAGAGTCTAGTAAATGATGGAGATGAACAGACAGTTGCAAAACAGAGCGATACGAGCTGTGAGAAATTCCCTCTGGGAGAAAAAGCAACCACATCACACAATGGGGACCACAAAAGACTTCCTGGAGGCAGTGACATCTGGGCCAAAACCTCAAGGAGGATTAGTCAACTAGTCAAACATGAGGAGATGGGTGGAGAGAGAGGCAAGAGAGAATTTTGTCCTCGGCAGAAATGTGAGGCTCAGGAGGGTGGAGCTATCTCCTGGGTAGGAGGGAAGCCAGAGATAAGGCAGGGAGGTTAGGGCCAGATTCAGTCACTTCCATGCTTAGAACAGTTTTCTGTTAGCATCAGGAAAATGTTCCTACAGCTCAATAATGAGGAGAAAAGGGGTGGAGAAGAGGGGCATCAGCACCATCAGGCTCTCCCGTGGTCTATTTTTTTCACTCCTCTGCTCCACTCCATTGATAGCCATCATGCAGTTCCCTGTTGACCCAGCTGTTCCCTCTGCCTTTCCCAATGTCTGCTAAGGTCCCCAGGGTGGAATCTGGAGCCCCTCCTATGAGCTGCCATGCTGCCCTGGGCTTGCCGCCACTGAAGCACATCCCACAGCATGCTGTCATGAAGTCTGTCTCCCAGCCCAGAGTGTGAACACACTTGGGACAGGACTGTGTCTTCCTGTCTGCTCTACCCCAGGGCCTGCCATTGTGTGTGCTCCATAATTGTGTGGTGAGCTTTGATGAACCGTTAGGTCAACCACGACATAGCACCATCTTAGAGGACAATTACTTGGCTGTTAATCATTTATGGCACCTAGAGAACAGTGAGGAAGAGGCTGAAGATAAAATTTAAGGTAGCAAATGACATGCTTATGATGCGAAAGAAGACAACCAGAGAAAAAGACAGAAAAGAAACACAGGAAAAGGTTAATAGTGGTCATCGTTGGGTCATAGATTCTGGGAAGTTTTAAAAAAATTATTTTTCTGTATTTATAACATTTAATTAATGTAAATTATGTATAATGAAATTATTATATTTAAAAAGAAAATACTATGGGTACCAGGAGTTGCAGTGGGGTGAGGGTGTTGTGCTTTTTACCTTGAGGTGGACATCATCCATCAGGGCCAAGAGAAACGTGTAGAGGTTTCCCAGGAAGAGTGCAAAGATGCGCCCCAGCTGCCACTTCAGTCCAGTGCGTGGGTGGTAATTCTCCAGGGCAGCGATGGTTTCAAACAGAGGGGGACAAAACATTCCAAGCAGGGACATCACTATCTCTACCTGAGGAATGAGGAAAGCCTGGGTTGTGTCATCAGCATTGCTTGTTTGGCCACCATCCCTGGACTCCCATGGCTACTGCCCCCTCCTCTGCCCCTGGAGATGCCCTGGGGTCTATACAGCTTGCTGTGTGACCCTGGAAAAGGCATCAACATACCCTGAGCAGTTGGCTTGTGCTTGTGTATCATAACTGCTGTGTGACCAGTTGCTATCATGGTTGTTGCTATTAGTATTGATGAAAACAGTACTTTCTTCATGGAGCAAATGAGTTAACATATGGGGCAGTGCTCCGTGGTTTATTTATTTATTTATTTATTTTTAATGGAGTATCACTTTTTTGTCAGGCTGGAGTTCAATGGCATGATCTCAGCTCACTGCAACTTCCGCCTCCCAGATTCAAGTGATTCTCCTGCTTCAGCCTCACAAGTAGCTGGGATTAGAGGCACATACGACTATACCCAGCTTATTTTTGTATTTTTAGTAGATACAGGGTTTTACCATGTTGGTTAGACTGGTTTCAAACTCTTGACCTCGTGATCCACCTGCCTTGGCTTCCCAGAATGCTGAGATTACAGGCGTGAGCCACCATGCCCAGCTGAGGGCTTTGTGTTCTATGGAAGTTGTGAGTTAGGTAGGAGTCACTGTAATAGCCCTCATCTAAATAGCATCAAAGACAGGAAGCTCAGATCACAGATGGAAACTAATAGTAGAGGTTAGGAGTATGGTTAAGAGTTGGCCATTTGGGCTGGGCAGGATGGCTCACACCTGTAATCCCAGCACTTTGGGAGGCCAAGGTGGGCAGATCACTTGAGGCCAGGAATTTGAGACCAGCCTGAGCAACACGAGGAAACCCCGTCTCTACTAAAAACACAAAAGTCAGCCAGGCATGGTGGTGTGGCCTGTAATCCGAGCTACTCATAAGGCTGAGGCTTAAGAATCACCTGAACCTGGGAGGCAGAGGCTGCAGTGAGCTGAGATCGTGCCACTGCACTGCAGCCTGGGCGATAAGAGTGAGACTCTGTCTCAAAAAAAAAAAAAAAAAAAAAAAAAAAAAAAAAAAAAAAAAAAAGAGTTTGGCATTTGGAGTCAGCTCTCTGGGTTTAAGCCCCAGCTCTAACACTTGCTGTCTTTGTAGCTTAGGAAAAGTTACACCACTTCTCTGAGCTTCTTGTTTCTTCATGGGTAAAAGGGTGACAACAGTCCTTGTGTGAGAATAAGAAGACATCATATATGTTATCTATGATCCCAGAGCCTGGAAAGCATCAAGCACTCAATTTTGGCTCCAGTATTGGGAGAATCCTGACTCATATAACTGAATCTGACCACAGTAAGACATCTCTCTGCAATTAAAACTGCCCACCCAGTGGAAAGTAAATCCTTGAACTGTTGACCGAATTGCAAGTCGGTCAACTCTTCCGGGCTGGCCCTGACTCTCCCACTCTCTCTCATGCCAGCCCTTGGCTTGGTTTCTCATCATCTCCATACCTGCCCATGTAGTTCTCATCTGGAGAGCCATCACTGTCCTACATCTACCACTGTACCTCATTATATGTTTGTGTAACGCTCAGCCTAATTCCTGCCTTTGCCACAAAATTCCACCGCCTCTTCAGCTCTCATGGACAGTTCCATCTGTAACCTGGAACCTCTAATTTGATCATGGTATTCCTGCCTACTGTTGCTTCTGCTTTGGTTTATTCTTGTCTAGCCTGTATCCTAAGGAAACTGCAATCCCTTTAAGGGTAGAATCCATCTCGGGCATCTTTTGAGTCCTTCTCACAGGTTAGTGACCCAGTGAAAGCTTCGTAGAAGGGACGTTTTTCCCTTCTGATTCTATTCCTCAGTTCTCCCATCCTACAGAGGGCCCCCCAAAGTCCCTAACTTTCTCATATCCTAAATCCATTCTGACCAGGTCAGGAGCTACACTGGGACCTCTAACCTACTATTGAGAGTGCCTGAGTTGATGTCCAGCTGCACTGATCTAGAGTGGGTTAGAGGTAAGTTTAGGCAATCAGGAATGAGGTCCCGGAGAAAGACTCAGAGCCAGACAGGTACTGGGTCCTAATCCTGACTCCATTGCTAATAAGCTGTGTGTCTTAGACTTTCTGGGCCTCACATATTTATGCAAAAACTAGGACTAAAGATGCCTACCCTGCCAATGTGCTATGAGGCATAAATAACGCATATAGAGTGCCAGGTCTCTTGTAGGTATTCAGTTGATAGTTTCCATCTCTCATTTACTGAGCACTTAGGAAGCGTGAATCACTGTGCCAAATTCTAAAGATGCAACAGAGAATAAAAAAAGTCATG